AAGAACTGATAACGATTACATTTAGTTATTCGATAGGACATCACTATGTTGGAAGAGCAAGGTGTTATTAAATGATCTAATTTTCTGAAAGAAGTCAGAACTTTGGTTGATCTTTGGATTATGGTAACTTGGTGATTTGTTGGCGAAAATTTGGCGACCAACTCTGCTACAGCAACCCTCTAATTTTTTTTTCGCCACCATTTTTCCTTCACGAAGTAAAGACATGTTTATTTTCTTTTTATTTACTAAACACTTTTTCCAACAATCTACTAGCCGAATTATACTTATGATAGAAATTTTATGTAACAAAACTGCTTAATCATGACAAATATTAACTGCAAAATTGGGAAAAAGGGCACAATCGCAAACTCCTTGCGCGTCAGAATAGCACATACACATAAACCATTACACATAAACCAGTTTTACTTAAAAAAACATCCCAGAATTGCACAAAAATGTCATTGCGCACACTCTTAACTTTATTCATCTACACTGCTATTTTCTCATAAATTACAAAAATTTGCACGAAAATACAAAAAAATTCTGTGAATCTTTAAACTCGGTAAAAAGCACATATATGAAATTACCTGATCGCGAAAAAGTATATACCCTTTCCTAGGATAAACATTTCCACGTATAAAATAAATAAAATATCCAAAAACTTTTACCTCTAAATTATCTATTATATTATAAACGTCACCAACGAATTCATACCGCAAACATTAGAAATGGTTACAAAAACTTAGTGTCAAATATTTAAATTACTTCCATGCACGTTTACTTCAACTGAAACATATAACAAATTCCTACAAACATAAAATTCACAAAATAACTATCATTTAACTAAAATATTACTAAACCATGTACACGTCGACTTATTTTTACTTAAAAAAACATCCCAGAATTGCACAAAAATGGCATTGCGCACACTCTTCACTATATCCATGTACACTGCTTTTTTCTCATAAATTAGAAAAATTTCACGAAAATGCATGAAAATACTCAACGTATTCTACTCAAACATATTCCAAAATACTACAAGATCAGCCAGAACTACAAGATCCAAAATACTACAAGATTCCAAAATACTACAAGATCAGCCAGAACTCTTTATAATAACTGCTTGGAATATCTTGAAGAACGGAGAGTTCAATTCGAGGATATTACAAACTTTCATCGGGTGACATTAAAAAAGGAGATTTTATGGAAATATGTGGAAAAAATCTTTTTAAAAATATTAGTAACTATTTTCTGAAAAATACTATTTGCAAAAATGATCGGTTGATCTTTACAATATGGTAACTGGTAGTTTGGCGACATTTTGGAGGCGATAAAGGTTACTACCTGGGACTTTGGTAATAATGTGAGCAGTACTCAGTTCCGATTACGCATTATTTTGCGTGAGGGAAATGAGAGATCATGGGATATGTCATGTGATATTAATGGACGAATTACGGTTCTTTAATCGGAAAAGGGGGGAAATCAGGAAAAAATGTGGAAATTTTGTATTTAGCTTTATACTGTGTTGTGTGAAACAGTGTTGTTTAATTTTTGGATCCCATGGCCCTAACTAAAGTTAATTCGAAATGGGTATTTAGGCATTGTGATAAAGAGAAGTTTGCTTTTTATTTAGCGGAGGAAGTATGGAGGAAAAATTCGCAGAAAAAATCTTTCAATAATTTTATTGAATGAATTAGAAAAGTGTATCCGCCACGTAATCAAGATTCTGAAGAAGATTAGGTAAGTTAGTATTTTTAATTATTTGAGGATGTTATTTTTATGCATTGTTCTAAATGTAAGGTAGAAAGGAATTTGGTATTATTGGGAAAATTGTTATTAGCAATGATTTAGTTTAAAGTAATTAGGATTGTAAGGTAATTTTTATTAATTTAATGTATGTGCTCATTTATATTTTAAGTAGTGGTTTTGAATTTAATTATATTTTAATGAAATGATAGTTATTTTGTGAATTTTATGTTTGTAGGAATTTGGTATACGTTTAAGTTGAAATAAACGTGCATGGAAATAATTTAAATATTTGATACTAAGTATTTGTAATGCTTGCGGTATGAATTCGTTGGTGACATTTATAATATAATAGATAATTTAGAGGTAAAAGTTTTTGGATATTTTATTTATTTTATACGTGGAAATGTTCATATTTGGAAAGGGTATATACTTTTTCGTTATTAGGTAATTTCATATATGTTCTTTTTAACGGGTTTTAAAGATTCAGAAAATTGTCATGCATTTTCGTGAAATTTTTCTAATTTATGAGAAAAAAGCAGTGTACATGGACATAGTGAAGAGTGTGCGCAATGCCATTTTTGTGCAATTGTGGGATGTTTTTTTAAGTAAAAATAAGTCGACGTGTACATGGTTAGTGATATTTTAATTAAAATGATAGTTATTTTGTGAATTTTATGTTTGTAGGAATTTGGTATACGTTTAAGTTGAAATAAACATGCATGGAAATAATTTAAATATTTGATACTAAGTATTTGTAATGCTTGCGGTATGAATTCGTTGGTGACGTGTATAATGTAATAGATGATTTAGAGGTAAAAGTTTTTGGATATTTTATTTATTTTATATGTGGAAATGTTCATATTGGAAAGGGTAATACTTTTTCGCGATCAGGTAATTTCATATATGTTCTTTTTACCGGGTTTAAAGATTGAGAAAATTGTCATGTATTTTCGTGAAATTTTTCTAATTTATGAGAAAAAAGCAGTGTACATGGATATAGTGAAGAGTGTGTGCAATGCCATTTTTGTGCAATTCTGGGATGTTTTTTTAAGTAAAAATAAGTCGGCATGTACATGGTTTATGTGTATGTGTTATTTTGAAAACGCGTAAGGAGTATGGTATTGTGCACTTTTTCCCAATTTTGCAGTGAATATTTGTCATGATTAAGCAGTTTTGTTTGATAAAATTTCTAGCATAAGTGTAATTTGGCTAGTAGATTGTTGGAAGAAGTGTTCAGTAGATAAGAAGAAAAGAAACATGTCTTTACTTCATGAAGACAAAATGGCGGCGGGGAAAAAAAAATAGAGGGTTGCTGTAGGAGAGTTGGTTGCCAAATTTTTGCCAAAAAATCGCCAAGTTACCATAATGTAAAGATCAACCAAATGATCTTTTTGATGAGGTGTCATTGGTAAAAAGATGCGTTCCTGATGAAAAAATTAATTATGAATGTATTTTGAAAATTGTAGTACACGCGCTCTCCCTTCGAGGAACAAATGCAGCAACAGAATGTGTTTTTTATAGTACCAATAAAATATGGACAACTGAAAAAAACGCAGTTGAACATTAAAACTTGAATATCCGTATTAAGCCTTAAAATATAATTTGATCAATTCATGTGAGAAATTTCACGACATTTTAATAAATGATTCGAATCTATTGCAAAGTATTCACTCGGATAAAAAATATAACCGTGAAAGAAAATCATAATTTTTTTTAAATAAATTATTAAATTAAAAAACATAATATTCAAATTATTGTTCTTTTACAAATATTTTTATAGTTACCAATTGTTAATAATAAATCTATTTTTGTATATTTATAGACAAGTATATGAATGTATATAATAAAATTTTTTTTTGAATTACTGGTCTGCTTTCATAACTAAATTATAATTCTCATTTCATTCCATTTGTTCTGCTTTGTCTGAATGAAAATGTGGTCATTTTACTCGAGGGCTATCTACCTCAGGAATAGGATATCTTCATGTAGGATGTTCTAAGGAAATTCTAATAAGGTTCTTTCATGTAGCCGCCCAGTTTCCTGGGATTTTAACCTGGAGCGAATCACCAGCGTTAGCAACTGTACTGCTAGGTTGCTGACAGATCAATATTCTTTTAAACCCAACAATACTTTCAAATAATAAACTATGCAAAAAAGAATTATGAAATCTTCAAAAAAAAAAGAGCTGACTTTACTTGAAAAAATAGGAGTAAAACATAAAATATCAGTCTACATGATGATTTCAGAGCATCTTGTTGCTTACTGCACAATTTGGATCCCATGCAGATGAAGCAGACAATATGGAGTTAATGCCTTACTGAATCTACCAAAAGTTTCTTGAAGATTATTTTGAGCCATTAGTGCCATTCACATTGCACTACCATCTGCCATAAAACAATGTCAATTTTCAGGATTTTTATCCAGTACAAAATATGTTTTAATCACGGCAACAAAATTATCCATTTGATTTAGGGGCCAGACCCTTACCTACCTTGCATTACTTTCATTAAAAAAAAAAAAAAAAAAAAAAATATTAAGAGTTAACCCAGATTATTAAGACACATATAACATACAAGACACAAAAATTTATTCAGTAACTTCAATAAAATCATTTAAAAGGAGTTTCGTTTACAAATTGTAAAAAATTTGCATCTTGGAAACATACTGCAGACATCAGTAATATTTCCATTATTGGCAATTTATATTTTTAAAAATGTTTATTGACTAGTTGCCTTTACTAAGTAACTTAAATGGTAGGCAGTTTACAGAATTTTATGTAATAAACTGCAGAATCTCCTAAATATTTTACCGCAAAATTCCTACCCATCCCTTTAAACATTCATTGTTTCGTCAATGCGCAATATTACTAAAAGTTAATCATTGCATAAAATCTATTACAGCCTTCTCTCGTCAGAAAAAATCTCTCATTTTATTTTAAATTGCATCAGGACGCAGGATTTATTTTCTTTCATTTATTAATCTCAATAAATCTGTCGAAAAAGCTATACCAAAAACTATATTTATGTACATTGTTTCCATCGGCTGTCCAAAAGCTGCCCATCTGGTTTTAAACTAATAATTTCTGGATTTAGGAATATAACGCTAAAAATGTAATTTCATTTACATTGCTACCAATCAAAATGCATCACTGCTTCGTTTAAATACATGAAAATGCACTAAGTTTACAAGAGAATAGACTACGTTGTTATAGAAATTAATACCTAAAAAAAAATTTAATATATGGAAGTTACCTGGATCGGGACCGCTCTCGAGACCGGGACTTTTTGGACTTACTGCTCCTTTCCCTTTTGTCTTTGGAGTGTGATCGTTTATGAGAATGTTTACTTTTATGCTTATGTCTAGAAGGTGATCTACTACCACTTCTAGATCGTCCCATGTTTGTATATTGAATATAACTGAATATGTTTGTATATTGAATATACTGAAAATAAGACCTATATATATTTTTAGATAAAAGTAATGTTTTTCAGCCCTCGCACAAACAGTTAGTTATAAGCACACGATTTAAAATTTCATAAAGCTCATATTTTCAATCAAATTTCTTAACGTATAAAACATATACATAGCAGCGTACATAAACAACACAATATTATGCACAAAATTTAACACATTTTCTTCCTTCGATAAGAGAAAAAGCCCACTAATGATGACAATGATATCATCGATTTTCAGCAAGAACGTTCAGTTACACGAATCTACGCCATGTTGGAAGAATAATATAGGCACTGGAAGAGTTTAAATGTCTAAAATGCTGTAACTTGCTTAAAATACTAGTAAAATGGGATAAGGTTCGGAGAACAGCCTTGGTTGCGCCAACTTGACTCCTTTAAGAATATGGGTGATATTTCGAAGTAAATATCATGTGAGGAATGGCCCTTGAGAGAAAAGGAAGACATAGGCTATTTTATTATTATGTTCCAGAGTAAAAATAATGGTTAATTCTATGAGTTGGATTTCTAAGTTTCCTGTTATTATTATTATTATTATTATTTAGAAATTTTCTTTGTGTTAATGCTCACATAATTATTAATTTTTTAATTTTGTTCGTTAGGACCTTCGGCCCAGGTACCCAGGTGTATACACCATTCCTGCGTGAAACAGTCTAAGTTTCTGTCATTTTGTAGATATTTTCTTAGTAGTTAAGAGGAATCATTATTATCATTATAATACTGTAATTCCATTAAAAATATAACGGCAAAATCACTTATGTTTTAACTATGGAATTGAAATTAAAAATTCAATATATATAATAAATTCGATATCCAGCACTGAAACCACTCAACAACATATCTGCGTTCATAATTTTAGTTCTGTTATTGCAAGATGTTTATATTTCAAGTACATTAATGATAAGATTGGGATGTGTTTAATTTAAGTCGTTTTGATTCTCTTTTATGGGGTAAAATATTACCCTAACTGAATTCTTCCCTTATTTTATTTATTTGTTTTTATAACAGTTTGCGTAATTATGTTGTTTACTATTTCTTTTCCTTCCTAAACTGAAAGATCTGCATTAAAGGTAGTTGTTTAATACATTTTACTTCAGTTTCGTAAACACTTTTTTTAAACCTTTAAGAAAATGCATGATAAGTATGTAATGTTTGATATTAATTTTAATTTCTTTTCTAATAAGCAATCTGGGATCTCTTAAGCTTTAACGTTACAAATTAGATATTGAATTTAAGTATCCCATTTTGCACTATTTCATATAGTATTAGTGTAGCAGATAACAATTACTAAGTATACATGCTCCCACCCATTTTCTGGGATTTCAGTTCAAGTCAAACTATTAAAATTTGGTGCTTTAGTCTGCTATAATTCAGCACTCAGCTTTGTGATGAAAGAATTGATCTCTGAGTGTTGCATTAAACATTCGTAATGATAAGGTGATTCGAGCAAATAAATGTAAATAAGCGAAGATCGGTCATCCTGCACATACAGGTGAAAGGAACTGAATATTCATTGTGGGAAATAAAAAAAAAATGGTCTAACAATAGTTATAGTCTACGTATCAAAAATCATTGAGGAAATTTATTGACTAGTTTGCCGTCATCATAACTGAACAAAATGTGATATTCAGTCTCTAATGCTGATGAAATATTACTTTTTATCATTTTCAAGAAAAGCAGTGACTACAAACAATGAGACAACACTTTATGGAATTAAAAATGTCAAGGCCAAAATTTAATGATATTGGGATGTACTTATAGAGCATCCACGTATTAAGCATGTTAGGATAGGTAAATAACATTTTAAAAGCATTGCATTTCTTAAAGAGTTCATTTGCATGCTGACATGAACAGATGCTTTCCCATTTTCATGCCCTTATCATAATGCTGATAAGATTATTGCCAAGTTTGTCTGAAATGAAGTAAAATGCCTCTTTTTTGGAATAGTAGCATCTTTCTCAGTCAACTATAAATCAAAAATAGTTAGCATTTAAAAAAAAAGAAGAGAAAGTACATTTAAGTGTAGTCTACTCATAGCTCTTATCTTCCTCAATTATAACAACTTTATGTAATTATCTGATGCAATTTTAAAATATATATATATTGAAATTACATTGCAAAATAAACAACTCTGCCCACAGCCATGATCATCGTACAGAATTGCATTACATATCTTATATTTCAAAACCAATTTGCTATATCTTTCCTGCATGTGTTGAAAAGCTTACTCCCACAGTATCTAAACAAATAGCACATGCACTTTATTTTGTAAAATTTAAGCAGTTTGCATTATAACTGTTATAAAACTGCGATTTATTGCAATTTTTGAATGGGTTTTAAAATTAAGGGTCATAAGAATGGAAAAGTACCAAAATATGTTGGGATGGGTTGATATTATTTGAAACGTTTGCATTTCTTAACCAGTTCATTCTCATGCTAACAGAAAGGCATGGACCATTGGAAACATCTTTCTAATTTGTTTCTTAAACTTACATATATGTTTTCTTACGTTTGGTGAGAAACTACTCAGCTACAAATTTCTACAATCTGTTGCTACAAAGTTCAGCATAACATAGCAGTGATCTACTCATTTATTAATCCTTATCTGGTATCAACTCAGGAGCATTTGAAAATTCTGAATATTCATTTCTTTCTTGTATGAAGAAATCACCTTCTTAAAACATTGCTTGGAAAGTATTGAAATATCATGTAGTGTTTTTTGATAAAAATCTTTCTGTGTTTATTGAATGGAACTAGTTTTGTGGAGTTCATTAAGTTTTATATAATTTTATAAAAATCTCTAGTATATATATTCTTTCCTAATTTGAGTACATCAATAATAAGGATCAGCTGGTTTCTTCAAGTTCTGTGATCACTGAATATGGAAGTTGGTAATGGCTTTTCCTTTACAGAAGCAAAATGGTATGTGATAGTGAGTAAAAATTGTTAGAGTAATCCCTTGTTATCTGCAGTCACAAAAAACTGAAATAAATAGCAAAAATTAGAATAAAAAACTTGTGCATCTTTTCTTTTGTCCCTATTAATAAAAGTTTGCTTAAACTAAACTCACTGGCACAACAGGACTTGTGGGCCAAGGCCTGCAGTGCCCAAAATTCTGTTTTCTTGAACATGGGCTCTGGGCTACATGAGCATATGCCCTGAACAGGTTGTCATTTGTTGCAGGAACCTCCAGTGTTTACTCCCCAAGTGAACTTGGTACTCATTTTATCAACCCATTCAAGGGATGAAAGGTTGAGTCAACATTGCCCAACCCGGGGATCGAATCCCGGACCTGTGGTGCTGCTGCGGAACGCACTAGCCACTTTGCCACCAGGCTTCAAAATGTTGCATAGCATATTGTTATTCGCACGTTTAATTTATTTTATTTTCATATTTCTGTTACTTGCTTATGCATTTGTTTCCTATTTAGCTTCTAGTTTATTGCTTGTATTTTGACTTTAGAGCTTGTGGCAGAATCCTGTGTACTTCTAATGATATGAAAAGAAACCTGCAAAATAAAACTTGCATTTGCAATATAGATGTGTGAAGTTTATTCAGGGGTGTTTGTGCTTCGGGGATTTGAACTTCGATACCCGGAAATTCCGGGAATCGTCGTTCAAAAGGAAGTAGGAATAATAATGAATTATTTATTTTGATCTGGGTAATTTTGTTTGCTTGAAAGCAGAAACGCAAGGTCAGTGTGTGTGTGATGAAAACTTTTCCTTTCTTTCTCCAAAGGCAGTGATAATGCATGAAAAGGGGGAAAACTTCTTTTTTGTTCTTTCCTTATTGCGAGTTATGACTCGTTCCCCCGGTTCTCGGACATTCTCTTCTTGATTCTTTTCGGCAAGTAGGCGCGGCAGAAAAAAAAAGGGAGAGACTTCATTCGACCAGATGGGCAATCACGTGACTCTGGGTTCAAAGGTCTTATCTCCCTGGCGTGCGCCACTAAGTAGAGAAGGGGGATTTTGCCGTATTAGCTATTTGTCGTTGATCGCTCTCAACTTTTTTCTCCGCTGTGTAAAATTTGTTTCATTTATTGATGCACGTATAAATTTTTCGTTTCGTTTATTGAAATATTTTTTTATTATGTATGCAAAGAGAATTTCACTCTGAAATATAAATAGTGATATTATACAATTAGAAGAAGGTGTCCGGAATGCATTAGGTGGAATTGGATTGAACGGAGAGATGGTAATGGGGATACCATCGGCACATGGTGCAAGAAAATAAATTTGCTGGACAAGTATATTGTGTTTTTTGTAACTGACTGCTGAGTATGGTGGGGAAGGATTCAAGCTTTCACAAATCATTCTAAAACTGTGACACAATAAAATATCAAAGTGCATTAGACATTCAATGACTTTAAGTAATTATGCTAATTCAAAAAATACTGATGACTTACTGGAGACTGATGCTCGGCCAATGGATATAGTGACAAGAAAAGCACGCCAAGAGGTATTAATAACTTCGTTTATCGCCAAGAATTCTCTTTCTTTCAATGTAGCTCCCACTTTAATTGTATTCTTGCTTGCATTCCCAACAACTCACAAAGGATGCTTTATCTCGGAAAAAAAGAATACTAAATGGGTTATTTGTTATGCAAAACAAAACTTTATTGCATATAGCATTATATTCAGCAGTATTACCAGAGTTCAACACATATATTAAATTATTTGAAACAAAAAAACTAGTGCTTCATTTAATACATTCCAGTATTTATAAATTGATGGCAAAATTTTCTCTTTTTTTATGAAGCCAGAAAATATGTGCACATCTTATAATGATTTATTAAAGGTTGATGTCACAATCCAGAATTCCATCTACCTAGCAAAGTAATATTTACTGGTGCAGAAGCTTCCACTCTCCTGAAGAAATTATCAAAAAATCATCCAATAGCAAAAGAATTCCAAATTTCTCTGATGAAAGCTTATACTAATACAGCACAGCATATGAAACCAGAAATTACCCCTTAAAAAATTCATATCTAATTAGTTTTACAGCATTAGATCCAGAGCTAAGAGGTAAAACCAGTACAAATATTAGCTTTGAAAAATTATCATCTTTTATGTCCCATATTTTTAGTGATAATGAAAAGTCAAAAGTAGAAGCTGAAATAAGGTTATACCAGAGTGTGATATTGATATCACCAAAGAAATGCTCTACACATCTGATGAAAGTGGAAATCAAGTCAAGTGTACAATTGATAAATATTGGTCTAAAGTTTTTAATTTAAAAGATGATTTCACAAATGATTATAAGTATCCTACATTGGCTAAATTGGTCAAAGCCTGCCTTAGCTGCTTCCATGGCCCATTAGTGGAAAGTGCATTTAACTTAATGGATCACTTGTCACTGACTAAGAACCTCTTTAGATGATTCCCTAGATGCAGTGCAGACTATTAAATATGATTAATGGCTTCTAAAGAAACCTCATGTGAACAATATGGCTAAAAAAATCCAATGACTGATCCATTCACAAAGATCTCTTACTGAATATGAACAGAAGTTAGAAAACATATCAAGAGGACTTAAAAACATGTATTTCAGAGAGTCACCTATAAAAGTCTCTGAAAACCTTCTACATTAGCAGAAAAGCAAACTGCTTCTACATCTGCATGTGCAGTTCTCGAGGAAATTTCTTCAACTGTAAATGAGAAAAATAAAAGTCAACCTTCCTGCAATTATGAAGTTCACCACAAAAGAAAGACAAGCCCACAAACATCAAAAAATTAAAAAGCAGCAGAAATTAGATATTTTTTTTTTTTTTTTTTTTTTTTTAAAGAATTAATTCAGGTAATTTAAAATATTTACATAAAATATAGTAGTTTATATGTTTGAAAATTTATGGTTATTAATTTTGCAAAAAAAGTAATTCATTGAACTTTTATAATTAGGTCATTCAATACTTCATAATTGTAATTTTTCATTTCTCTCCCCCCCCCTTCTCGAAACTCCAAAATGTCGGTAGTAACTCCGTAAAAGTTTCAGGGGATTTTTTGGGGTCCCACAAACACCCCTGTTTATTCCATTTTTCTGAATTCTATAATAAAAATGGAACCATCCACATGAAATGCTTGTTGCCTCAAATTCTGGCCATAAGAAGCATCTAAGATTAAATTCTAGATGCAGCACTATAATAGCTATTATAATAACCATGACATGAAATATAAAAAAACCTTTAAAGCAGTAAATGAAAAGATATAAAAAGAATGATCTTATGCCATGAGATTTATACTAGAAAAAATTGGAAAACTTATCACAGTTTCCGTTGAAGAAGAAATCTGGGAAGTTAAAAATGGAACCAGAAGCTCTTTAGCAAAATATCTTGATATAAACCTTAAATTCTCCACACACCCTTTCTTTTTGAGTATTACCTAAATGTATTCTGAAGCTGGATTCAATCTGGATTCAATTGAAGTAAAAAAATATTTAAGCTGAAGTTAAAAAAAGGCATTCTGTATTACTTGAAGATGTGCAATAGAGTTATGCAATAGTTATAAAGAAAAGGAAAGAAAGAAACAAATTTTAGTCACACAGGTTGTTTTTTTTTTTTTTTTTTAATCTCATTAATGGCCTGTAGATTGATTAATAGTTTTATTGAATTAATTTTTGCTATTAAATTCAATTAGAATACTCTAAAGAACTCTAACTATTTATATCGTTATCATTTCAGCTAAAATTATTGCAATTCTTCCTGAATAACTAATATTGCACTGAACCATCACTGTATATATACTGTCATATCTCATTATCTGTGGTTCTGTAATCATTGAAACAATAGAAAAAGATTAATTCTTACAGACAGTAAAGGACTACTGTATACTGAAAAAGACCCATGTTATTAAAATGTTACTAATAAGGCTTTTGGAAATTGTAGACTGGATTTCATTTTCCAAAACTCTTAGTGTCAGTGGTCTCCTGTTTGATGTACAGCAGTCATCATGTAACTTCTAATGCAGAATCAGTATGGTTTTTAAAGTAATTTTTTTATCAAGAAATGCATACATATGCTTTGCTGGCATTTCTGTTAGGCTTGTTGACTAATTAATCAGATATGCTAAAGAGGCTCATTAATGCTGTTATTTTGAAGCAATTTTCTCTAGCTAATATCATGAGAAACCTTCTGCATGTTGTTCACAGGGCTATGTCTGTTCACCAAACAAAATTTGATGATAATGTAATTCTAACTTCTAGCAACACTTTTTATGCAATGAACGGCATATGTCTGCAGATATTATTTTGAGCTTATCTGCCTCCCCATTTAATTTGAATTATCTTGTCATTGAATATTACCAAAATATAATCCTCTAAAGAATTATAAATCATCATTTGATAGCAAGGTGTCAGTCTGGCCAAAAACTTCTTCCAGGGAAGAATCAAGAAACAGTGACAAATTTATCATTCATTTTAATTTTAAAAACAAATAAATGAAAAATAAAAAATTGAGGGCTGAAATTTGATATTTTCTTGCAAACTAGGCATTTTCTCGCTGTGGGATTCTGAGTATAACTGCTGTTTAGACTGATATGGTATTTAAGAGAACTATTGTGTAGAATTCCTCCTGATCCCTCTTAAGCAGGGTTTCTCAAAGTATGGTACATATACCACTAATGGTACATGTCATTATTTTCGGTGATGTAATTTTTACACAAAAGATTGGAATAAATGTAAAATGGCCCCCTTTTTGGTACATATAGTTGGCACATGATTGTACATATATATTTTATCCTTATTTATTTCATACAAAATTCAAAACATTCATGAACCCCTTGCTGTGGAGAATTAATTTAGTCTCTCAGTGCTTTTGATATACTTCTTTTTATTCAATAAAATTGTGATTAAACATATCAATAGTATTTTAATCAAACACAGAACCTAACACTATAGCTAGGACTTAAACTTTGCCATTGTTAATATTTTCGCGCCTGAAACAAATGTTTTGATAATGCTGCTTGCGAACCCTAAATAATAATCGCATTTTAACAATTAAATATTTGTGTGTGATGTAAAGCAAAATTAAAAATGACTGAGTTTAAGAAAAGTCATCCAAAATGCTAATTATTGAATAAAACAATAAGCTTATTGGAGGAGTTAAAACAACAAGAATCAGCTTATATTCATAAATTTGCAGGCTATCTGTTATTGATGAATGAAAATATTAATAAATTGAATGAAATCAGTGATGAGTCAAAAAGTAATAAGTTAAATTACAATAATATATAAAATTAAATGAAATAATAAAACCATTCACAGAAGTGAAACACTTGTTTTATTGTATTATTATTATGATGTTTACAGGAAAATGTTGGGCCGTAAGCAGAGTGTGAAAGGTGATGAAGTGCTGGCTGACTATGGTGCTGGTGAGACACTGACTCAGCTTGGCATAGCAGCTGATGTTGAATGGGTAGGTGTTAGAATTTATTTTTGTTATCCAGTCATTTTTTTATGAGCATTTCCTTTGAAATCATTTTCATTTCTAGTAAGTAAGGGTATGTCAGGCATTTCATGTTTGGTTGAAATGCATTTAAATATGACAAATCTTCATTCATGCATAAATAACTTCATGCAAGGTGGGTTTTTTTTTTTTTTTTTTTTTTTTTTAAATACTGCATAAACTTTGCATAGAAACATTATTTGCTTGGAGTGGATAAAATATGTCAAAAGAACTACACCTTTATGACTCAATTTTCAAGTAAAATATGAATGAAAATCTGTAATGCTATATCTAATAAAAGGAAAATAAATGTTATTGTAAACAGTATAGTCATCAGAGCTATAAATAGAATTCTGTAGAAATAGCAATTAATGCAAAATGCTCCATCAGCTCTCTGCATCATGACAGATTCCTTCAAAATGATTGTGAAATTAATTGCTAGTGTAAATGCAAAAATGGAGATGGAATGAAAAGGTCATAGATTAATATTAAAGGATGAAAACTATGGCAATTATGAAAGGAAAGTTTGAGAAAGAATTAAAGAATGTAAAATTACCATCAGCGAAGAAATCAAGAATCAAATTGCTGTTAGAATATTTGTGAAAGTATTAACATTAAGGTTTGATATATGCCAGGGGTGGCCAAGCTTCATGTCAATAAGAGTTGCATGTTGGAATTCAGTAAAGTTCCAAAACTACAACTAAATTTTCCAAAAGCCCCAAGACCATATTTTATTTTCTCTGCAATAATCACTATGCCTAAAATAAATGCTACATTGTAACAGTTTTGAAAAGTTCTGTTCCAAAAATATTTTTATCATCAGTAGTGCAATTTTCATTTATGTTATTTTGTCTGCTATCTATATAACATGATTGATAAATCTACTGTATACAGCTGTAAATATATTCTTTTCATTGAATTGATCACTGTTAATATCAGTTCAAGGATAAATTATCTAACCTATTTAAAAGTAAGAAATATGCTGAATTTAAGCAGTAAATGTTAAAGAGTTAAAAAATGCTGATGGTGTTAACACAATTTTTGAATGATTTTGTTAAAGGATTAAAAAGTATAAATGTAGTAAAATAAAAATTTCTGATCATAGTATATGATGTGAACTGAGAAATATCATTTACTACTTTTAAATTTATTCGCCTCTCAGAATGTTGCAGTTAAATAAGCTATGGATCAAAAGAAGTGCTTTTGTTCTTTCTGAAGAGAAATACTTTTATTCTTTAATTCAAAAAATAGTGTAAAATACGTTACTTTAAAATTTCTAGTGCAAAGTTAGCTGTATTAATTCTCAGAAAGAAAAAAAAAAACCATTGATCATTATTTTTATATGAAAAGATTCCAAATAAATTCCCAAAAATGTTATACACTGTTTCTAATAGTTGCAAAGTCTCTGATAACAGCATAAAAATCTGTCAATGCAGCTTTCAAGTGCAAAGTCTGTAAATATGTCTATAGCAACAATAAACAAAGATTTATAATTTACAAAATCTATGAAATAGAATTACCTAGCTTTCACCATGCATTTGGCTGAATACATAAATTACTGTAGAGCCCTCTATAAACACCGTTTAGCAGGAAGTAAATGAAAATACATTGTGACCATTGATGAAACATAAATTTATTCAAATGACTACAACAAGGAATGGTAAATTTATTCTTGAAAGCAAGAAGAAAAAGGATTATGAATCTGATTCTGACAATGTGAAGAAAGTTTCAGTAAGGGGTTTTTGATTATTGCAGGTTTCCTCCATAATGGCAAATAAAAAAAAAGATGATGAGTGCCAAGCCAGAGGGAATGATGATCCGAATCACTTTTCTGTGTTTTTAAAAATGTGTGCTTACAAGTAATTATCATCTGAAAATGCCACTTGTGAACAATCACAACATACGGGGGGTATGAACACTGTTAATAATAAAAAATTTCAGTGTTCAGAAAGTTGAAAAGTATCATTTCATCATATCAGAAAACAGCTTTATTTCTGAAATGTCAAAGGAATTCAATTTCCTTATCTCAGTCATACTCATGTAGTAAAATTGTGTGAGACAAAGCCACCAGCCATATTTTGGAAGCTACTTCTGCATTCCTTGAAAAAATAAAGTTTGCTGTGGCTATTGAATGTATTCTTTTTTAATAAATTCATCCAACATCTCCTGATATTTCACCTGTCAACTAAAGTGCTTTTAGACTGTTGAAAAGATTTTTTTCCCTGAATACAAATCTACCACAATTGATAAAATCTGAAAAGCAAATAAGTAGATAGGTAGAAGATGATAGAAAAATAATTAAAGAAAGCATTACCTCTATAAATTTTGTGAAAAACCCTTTTATAATAGAAAGCACAATGCATACCTAAAGTTCAGAAAAAATAACCATTGGTTTAAATATTTAAATATTTTTCATTTTAAACGTTAATTAAACTGCCTTAAAATTGTTCTAAAATTTGTTAACAGTGACTGTATGTTTTTAAAGCTCATTTACATTTAATTATGTTTTTAAAGAGAATCGTTTGGAAATTTAAAGTAACTAAATAATTTATCATTTTATTTTTTACAGGTTTGGGTAAGACGTTTGTTACGCCTATGTGCACTTCTCAGCTTGGTATCAGTGAGTCTGAATACTACGCGCACTTTTGAGAGATACGAGTTCTTGTTTTATGTCACCTTTGTTTGTGATATTGTGGTTACAGTTCTCTTCACCATTGAAATGATAGTGAAAATGTACATTCGGGGATTCCTTATGGTAATTTGAGCTTTCGCATAACAATGCAAAAGTGATTATTTGTGTTCAAATGATTTGGTAAAAATCTATGGGTATCCCTTGGTGAAAATTGATGATTTTTGGCAGTACATGGATACCGAGTTTGAGCAATTCTTTGACCAAAATAACAAGACAAAGAATTGCACAAACTTGGTACCCATGTACACATCAACCTATTTTCACTTTAAAAAAAAAATCAGAGAAGTGCACAAATTTAGTATTGCACACTCCCTTTATCCATGTACACATCAACCTATTTTCACTTTTAAAAAATCAGAGAATTGCACAAACTAGGCATTGCGCACTCCCTTTGTCCATGTACACATCGAACTATATTCACTTACAAAGTCAAAGTAACAGCCAACAAAAAATATGTAATCTCACTAAACTACATTTTAAAATCAAACAATGAAATAACATAAAAAAGGAAATTCATCTGTGCACTACACAAAGAAAATATCCACTTACCTTTTTTACATATCTTAAGTCAAACAAAATTCCTTAACAGCATCCAAAAACTTAAAATTATCTGAACTAGAATCTGTATACTGATGTCACCACATAAATTCACAAAATAAGAGTAAAAAATATCCTCCCTAGCACCGTTATAGTCCGACCATACGCATTTCCTTCCTACAAACAGGACACTTAATAATGGCTACTAAGTAAACCTTCATTGACACACCAGTCAAGTAATTCTCTTTTCTTTCCAAATCGTACAGAAACTTCAAATTAATCTTACCACATTCAGCCATTGTATCATTTAAACCACAAAACAAGCAGTATACTTCCTAACCAACACACACAGACAAGCCCTTATGAATTTACCGTAATCAGGCAACCGATTACCTCATAATAGGGTTTCCATAACATTCAACTGCTCAGACTACCATAAATGAAACAACAACTTTGCGATAATACAAGGGTCGTGATAATATATACAAGGGGTAACCAGTGATTTTTAGGACTAAATGGACTTTAAAAATGAAAGATCTCTTAATTCCATGTTGTAATAAATATAGAAAATTCGAAAATATGTACATCTTCCCACAGTGATATAGTAAAAATTCTAAATTCATGTTCAGCAGATATGCATCATAAGAGATGCATTTTTAATTTTAAATTTGCTTAAAAGCACTTTATAAAAGAAATTTAATAAATATTTGAATTAGTTTTATATGAATATATATCTAAATCATTTTATTAATATTATAATAAATAAGAAATATTTGAGTCATTTTATTAATGTAATTAAATAAAATATATTTATGTATTTTTTATTATTTTGAGGTTGTTTATTTATGTATTTCTATATACTTTAATGCATTTGATTTATTTTGAGGTCATGATATTTATACTTGTAAGACAACATTTCATAATGTTATATTACAGCTGAATTTAATCCAAAGTATTGCACTCAAATTAAAAATTTATATTTACTGCATAATTTTTCTATCTGTTATCTAACTATTTACATATGAGTGTAAGATAAAGAATATGCAAATCAGAATTCCAACTTTAATTTATAATAATTCCATAACTTTCTATTTTAATTTGGATATTTTCCCCTTTTTGTACAAAAAATGGTAACTGCTTATAGTAAGCTGTGTCAAAGCAAAATTAACTGTGTCATTGTAAAATTAATACATGTCATATAATTCTTACATAGCAGTAATGATGCGTATTCTTACATAAGTATTCAACCAGTAATAATTTTAGTTATTAAGTAGCCAATCAAAGTAAAGTTAAACCGAAACCGTAGCATTTTGAATGAGAAGTTCATGTTAAGTGCATTACACTTGCTGTCTGTTTCTCTTGTTAGCTAGGCTCAGTTCTGCTCCTTTCTTCAAAAATGTAAAAACTGTTCTAAATAAATATTGCACCACCTTATTTGTGTTGACTATACAATGTTTGTCAATGAGAATAAAAAGGGGAAAAAAAAGGGAATACTAAAATCTGCTATGATTCCAGCCTTCTTTGTTCATCTCCATAACCTTGGGATTCTAAATTATTTCAATCAGCATCCTAAATTTTCTCAGATACAGTCAAAAGTCGTTAATCCGGACTCATCGGGACTTCGGCGATTCCAGATTATCTATTTTTCCGGATTATAGATCATCAGTTTAAATCTGGTAAGATGGCATGCAGAAATTATAAAATTAAAAATATGAAACCGTAATTTATGAAATAAAGAATAATTATGATTTAAAGGGTATCAAAAGTTACAAAAAGAAAAAGCTTAATATTTATTTGTTTACTTTATTAAACATTTCTTTCAATTTAAGTTGTTTAAGTTGCTTCGTTTCATGTGATAATACTTTTCTCTTTATTTCTATTAAACAGATATAATTTCTTGTTTAGTTACAAAGTTCCGCTGTTCAAGTCCTATAATTGCTGTGTCGAGAATACCGACTAATTCGTTAATCGAAATTTTTTTGTTTTTCAATAACCTCCGTGTCACTTTCTTCACTATCAGAAGCGAATTATAATGATGAGGAACTTGATTTAAATCATATCAAAGATGGAGTACATCGAGATGAAATACTACATTTAGTAAGGAATTATAAGCCAAATAAAATAAAAACATCTGCCCTGAAGATAAGGATAGTGCTGACAGATCAACTTCCAATTCATTGCGCGCCATGGCGGGAAATTGATAAACAGATTTCGGATTTCAAAACATACTTTCGCTTTGTAGATCCTTTACATATTAGTAAATATATATCGGAAATTCTATTTGACATAATCGAAAGTTCAAGCTTACTTTTATTAAATTTCTCTAACAGTCTGTAAAAAATAATAAGTCGGATCCAATTCAAAGATTAAGGAACAACGCAATCTGCAATATTAACTGAATTAGATAATTTTAGCTTAGCTTATATCATCCGTTATACATTAAACGCGCATGCGTAAACATATTATGCACATGCGTCAAAAAGAGTCGACTGCATTGCATTTGAAATATGTATCATAAATATTGATTTGTGTGTTAAATGAATTTCTTTCAATTCATGCAAAACCTAAATATCGAGCTTCTTAATGAGTTCAGGACATCTTATATGACTTAAATTGTTGTGTATGATATTATTAACCTTTTGCATTCGCTTGCATAGTTATATAATGATTCAATTCAATTATGTCTTTAATGTTATCATCATCAACTTCAGAAGATCAGGTGAAACGTTGGTCGAACGTTGGCAAGTGAAACATCTCCAGAATGAAAATTTTTAAATAGATTCTGAGACATGCATTCTGTTAAGCAATTGACATCATAAACTTCACATACATTTTTGTGAACCTCAGCTCAGGCGAAGCGTTCTCTGCATCAGGCTCCCACATGTAAACGTTATCCCAAACTAACCACGTTTGAGCCTCAGCCACTTTCTTGTAAGTACATAAAAAAGTTAAATATGTCAAAAATGTGTATTTTTGCATCCCATGTTAAAATTAATTGTGAACTAACAGTTATTAACAAAAATACATGGAATTTGTTTCTATAGCAACCTAAAAGTGTAAGCTGCCAAATCTCAAAAGAAAAAATTACAAGATTGACAAAAGAATATCAAAACGAGCATAACGCTGTTTATTTGTGCAAACAAAAATTACTCTCTTGCCAATCCAATATTATGAAATCATCTGCTATCATGGTTATTATTGATTACAGTTTTCTTTACATATTTTTATAGACAGTTTCATTTTACACTGATGGTTTAGGCCAGCAGTTTTTTTTTTTTATTTTTATTTAGTTATGTTGAAAACTATGCATACAAATTAAACACTTCATTCATCATTTTTCCATTGTTCTGCTATAATTGAACAACTTTTTTATTCAGGCCTGGGTTTATCTGCCTTTAATTAATTGGAAATAGATTGAACATTCTAACTTTATAGTTAATGTGAATAAATATGAACAAAAAATTGTTTTTAAAAGATTAAGTGTGTAATCTTTGCAGAGTTTTTGGACTGGCAAATAAAGTTTTATTGTCAATAAATAGTAACATCTAATTGATATAACATTAAGTCCTCATTTGAAGTACAGTCGAATCCGGTTAATTGGACCACCGGATAATCAGAGCAGCTGCTTTTTCGGACCAAATCCTAAAGAACCCAAACAAATCCTATGTACATAAGCCTAATATTATTCGCTTATTTGGACCAAAATTCCATTTAATCGGACCAAAAAACGTGAGAGCAAATAAGAAACAGAAGCCACAACTCTGCCACGTACAGTGAATGTACAGATGGTGTGCGACATATGGGAGGATCTGTAGTTGCGGCTCCCCAGGAAAATGCTTTATCAAAGGTCAGGAATTCCTTAAAGTGCATGACAAAAGCAAAACCGGAGGGAGGTGAACATGTGCACCATTTTCTTTGACCTGCGCCTCCGAGTTTCAAGGAAATGAACAATAGAAGACCTGGCTCCACCTGAAAGGAATTCCTGCCTGTCAATCATGATTAAAGTTTACACAAGAAAGCTATCATTTTATCACCTTTTTGGGATGATTTTGGTGCCAAAGCTTTGAATGGCGAGCATTTTATTTCCCTCTTGACCTCAACATCTTGAACCCGAAACACCAAGGTTTCTTCAGATCACTTTAGTCACTTAGTCAGTGAACTGTGTGCATGCCTTGTCTCCTCTGCCAAAATGCCACGACCATGAAACACTAATCGGCGTCGGTTGGTGGAAATAACCGGTGGCAAAGACTACAATTTCGCGCTTGATAAAACAGAAGAATGAGCTGCAAGAAGAATGGGCACAATGTGAAGGATGAGGAGAAACTTCCAAAAATGGAAGCATGAAGGCAAGGACCCAGATGTCGATGAGGCCTTTGATGAATGGTTTGCTATTGTTACTGAATGATCTGTGCGATTAAGCGGCCCAATGTTCAAAAGCAAAGCAGAAGAACTCGCTAAAAACCTGAGCCCCGATGACTTTAAAGCTATGGACGGTTGGTTGTCTCGATGGAAATTTAGACATGACATAAAATTCAAGGAAAGTTTATGGAGAGAAAGAAAGTGCTGATGGTGCAAATGCTGAAGAATGGAAATCAATAAAACTGCCTGAGCTTCTTGAAAATTTTTCAGCAGATGACATCTACGATACTGATGAGACTGGGCTGTATTATTGTGCTATACCGGACGGCTCGTTAAGTTACAAACATATAGCACTCTCTGGCTCCAAAAATGCGATGGATCGCGTAACTGTCTTGTGCTGCTCAAACATGTCAGGAATGGACAAGATGAAGCTGTTGGTTATAGGAAAAAGCGCTAAGCGTCACTATTTTAAAAGACTTAGGATGAAGAGTTTACCAGTTGTGTATCATGTGAAGAGAAATGTATGGATGACCTCTGTACTTTTTAAAGAATGGCTAAAGGATTGGGACAGAGAGCTACAGTCCCAGTTGAGAAAAAGTGCTGCTTCTTCTTGAGAATTGTGCTGCACATCCTCATTTAGATTGCTTGATGAACGTCCGACTGGAATTTCTACCTCCCAGGACCACAGCGTTGGTCCAGCCAATGGACATGGGCATCATAAAAATTTGAAGACCCCTTTCTTGTTCAAGGACGTAATTAAGGTTTCTTAATTACGTCCTTGAAGCAATTGAAGAAAGTTTGCTGACCTCATCGCCAAAAGCCAGCGAAGTCAGTGCAAAGGTCAACATCTTACAAGCAGTTACATTTATGGTGAAAAATGAGCAGTGAAACAATTCAGAACTGTTTTTCTTACTGTGGCTTTAAGTATTTAATTTTGGAGATGGATGTGGACATGCTCATTGAAAGTGAAAATGATGATTTACATGTGGAACTTCAACAGGTACAAAATTGCAAAGAATTTTTATCCATTGACAACGAGCTTCAATGCTACAATGAAAATGAAGATTACGACGCTGCAATGGTTGCTCAAGTTGCAGCAAAACACACGACAGCATCAGAAGGCCAAGAAAGTGATGATGATGATGCTGCTAATAAGTTGGTGCAAGTGACAACACAGGTTGCGAGGAAATGCATTGAAACTTTGTATCGGTATTTCATGCAGGAGGGAAATAAAAGGAGGCCCGTTGATTGCTGTTTAGATGTTTGTGGGGAATTTTGTTCATCGTGCAAATCTCTCAAGAGAATGTGTCAGAATCACATAGGATAAGTTCTTCAAATGTTGACTGGAACTTGGTAAGAACTCGTTTTTATTGTGCCTTTGCATGCTGAGTATCATGGAGATCGTTTCTTAGAGTTTGTTTCTAAATTAATTTTCTCAATTGAAAAAAAAGTTCGACTGTAGTTCGTGTTTGTACATGTATGTTCGTCATATGTGTGTACTGCACCATAAAGTTCATGATTACATTTTAGTACATGATTTACTTGTACATTTACTGTTTGCTACATATAGCACATCACATCTTACAACATAGAACATGTTCGTGTAATCGGACCAGCCAGTTATTAGGACCAAAACGATCGCTTCCTGGTGTGATCCGATTAACTGGAATCGACTGTATTAACATATTAGGAATAATTTTCTTTAGTTACATGAAACTACTATTTCATTGTATATGTACTGCAAATCATTGAAAATGCTTCAAAATTTTGAAGTACCTGTATTTTTAAATATGAGAATAAAAGTATGGGATTGATTAGCAACTAAGTATTTGATCAGAACATTCAAAAATTAAATATTATTAAAATTTTTAAATCATTTTATATTGCTGTATTATATTCTGTTTATTTCTATAGAATATTGAACATTTTATAAGTTCTAATGCCTTAGGCATTTTTTTCATCATTAGAGAAAGACGTCTGTTTTTCCATATGTTATAAAGAAATACGTCTGTGTGCATATGTGTATGCATTTAAATGTGTAATATTGTATTAACATTTTTATGGTGATTAATTTTTTTCAGGGTGATTTTTCTTATCTCAAAGATCGTTGGTGTCAATTTGATGCTACAATGGTTTTCTTTCTGTGGATATCAGTTATCTTACAGGTATAATTTTAATTTTTTTAATTCATATTATTCACCGTATTATTGATATACTGAGAATATTGTTTTACAAAATTCTCTGTGTAAAAGCTCCAACCTTGTTTTCACACCATGATTAGAAGCTAGGCTGGAAAAATAGTGTAAATGTGTTTTCCTTTATAGGTGGTATGTGAAATAGGGGAATCCTAATATTTTAATATGGATGATGTTAATAATTAGTGATTTTTTTCATTAAAATTTGCAGAGATTTTGAGAATATATGTAAAGTGCCCAAAAAAGTATGTTTCAATAAAAAACATCCAAACAGTTTATTATTTCCAATTTTCATACTCTTGGAGGTTTGCTATAACAGTATAAAATAACATTAAGTGTACAGGAAACTGGATGGAACCAAAATCTTCATTCAGCCAAGTTCATTATAGTGGAATTTGAGTGTATTCAATTTTTAAAAATTATCATTTTGTAAGCAAGTACTTACTGATCATCTGTGCCTCTAGTTTCAACATTTGTAGAATAGCTATGTTTTTTGGTGTATTTTTTAGTATATTTGTACAGTTGACGATAACAATACATATATTTGCATAACATCTACTCATTTAAATACACATGGATTTACACATTTTATATTTAACTATATCCATAGTTAAGATACAATAACATGCCGAACGAATATTAATTTAGAAGTCAAACAACAAAAATCAGCATTATATTTTCAAATTTTCGCAGGACTAGTTTCAATAGTTTTACCAAACCATCATCCTCAGCTGCAAAAGCGCAAATGAACGAGATTTTCACCCAACATTATTAATCAAGCAGTTAAAAATTCTCATCTCAACACACCAAAAGGCACACTCTTGTTTTAGGATATTATAAAAATTCTGTTGCCATTCCCTTCTTTCTATCAATTAGCTATAAAGTTGTATGTATTTTGCAGTACATTGGCCAAACTAAGAGAACCTTAAAATTTCACATTAAGGAACATGAGGCATATGTTAGAAAAAAGGAAACACGGAAATCTTCTGTTGCCCAGCATTGTTGGTCCAAAAATCACACTGCCACAATTCTTCTGCTGCCAAAACTATTCAGAAACCATCTTCCATTGGTAAACTGGATTTTTGATTTCACATTCAAAAAAATCTTTCTGTTCTAGTTAACAACCCTAATTCCAATCCATCTTTGCCTTCAGCCTTTAAAGAAATTATATTTTAGTTCTGGTTTCATCAACAGATGGTGCCAGTAGCTTATCTCCTGTCCAGGCTTTCTTATCTTATCTTGTCTAATCATTATATGTTATCCCATTCATTTGCGCTTTTGCAGCTGAGAATGATGGTTCAGTAAAACCATCGGAACTAGTCCTGCGAAAATATGTTTTCAATTTTCATTCTTTGTAAAGTGCTTTTTGTTATTATTTGTGAACAATAAAGGTGACCAAACAAACATTTATCTTCAATTCACAATGTTTTCAATAAATTGGTGACTTTAAAGACTGGTGAAATGTGAAAATTATATTGATGAAAAGCATATTAAATATTTTAATTAATTGAAAGAGTAATCTATACAAGAAAAATATTTCTTTGGTGAAATTTAGCTGAGTGCTTAAGTAGGAATATCATTTATATGCTTCATTTAAAAAATGCATGAAAAGTAATTATTTGATTACATTTTGCTAGGAATATGGCTGTGTAGTCATTTTGCTTAAATGCTGTGTAGTATTATGTATAATGACTTTTTAGATAGTTATGATATCGGTTATATATTATATAGCATTTTAGAAATTGTACTTTGGAATAATATTAGTGTTTTGTTTGAAGCATCACATTTTGTAATTTATTAAATATAATTTTAATTTTTAGATTTGTAGGAAAAATTGGAAAAAAAAAATTTACTCGTCTGCGAGTTATGTATAGGCCTATGAAATTTTAAACTGAAACACTTGTTTTTTATTGTAATGAGAATGCAATGAGTTTTAATTATTAGAAAAAAAGAGGACCCTTCCCCCTCTAAAAAATGTGCATAAATTTTATGAACAGTATCTTTCAGAGTATGAAAACTATAAAATCAAGCTTTTTTTCCTTTTTAAAAAATGTGTAGTTTGAAAAATATAAGTAAATAAAAAGAATACAGAGAAACAAAATACATATTTTCGCATTACATGTACTTAAGAGTTTTTATTCTGAACAAATGAATTTTGATTCATATAAAGTAAGTTAATATAAATCTTTTGTTAATTTGATTATAATTTTTTGTCTTAATTTCAGATTTTTGAAATGGTGCAAGTGGTGCCAAAGTTTTCGTACTTATCAATACTCAGAGCACCTCGTCCATTAATAATGATTCGTTTCATACGGGTGTTCTTAAAGTTTTCCATGCCAAAATCACGAATCAATCAAATTTTTAAGTATGTTATTTTGATATTTTGTAATATTTGTGTATTAGTATAATTTAAATTTCATAAATGGTATGATTTAGGATATATTCTGAAGCAATGTTTTAAATTTTTTTCAACAGGCGTTCAAGTCAACAAATATACAATGTTACTTTGTTTTTTTTGTTCTTCATGTCTCTTTATGGTCTGCTAGGAGTTCAGTTTTTTGGTGAAATGTCAAATCATTGTGTTGTCAATGGAACAGATCCCAAGTAAGAAGTTTTTTTTTTTTTTTTTTTTTTTTTTTTTTTTTTAACACATTTTGGATTTTTAAGTAGTAAATTTTTTACTTCACTGGTTGGCAATATTTATTAAAAACATGTATAACAATTTATGGTATAAATAATTGTTAAATCTTCTCTCTAATATTTTAGCTTATAATTTGCTTTTATAAAGTCTGTTTTTTGAAAAAAAAAAAAAAAAAGCCATGTATATTATCTTTTAAATTTATTAAAATAAATTGTGGGGCAATATATGTATATTATTTTAACAGCTGCAATTATCTGTTCTGTTGCATAAAATTTCTATTTTTATTATTTAAAATATTGATTTAGACTCAATAAAACTTAATGTGCTTTTATGGATTTTCTAAAAATGATAAAGTATTTATGCAGAAGCTTTTTTTTTTTTTTTTTTTTTTTTCCTAAATGGATTAATACATCAAGTTCTCTGATTACCTTTATTTCTGCACCTATAACCTGTAACCTATGATATATTAGCAAAAAAAAAGCTATATTCATTATTATTAAAAACCACTATTTTGTTTATTTTCATTTGTTTCATGAAAATCATAGCTGTGTGCCAATTTACCACTGTAATTATGTAAATATGAAAAGAGAATTCTAATATCAATCTTTTTCTCCTTTTTCTCTTTGTCAATAGCTGAATATTTTGAGCAGTATATCATGAATGAATCTTTCAATAATTTCACTAATAAATACAAAAAAAAATTATGTATCAATTTGACTTTTCATAATTAAGAAAATCTGTTATATATTTATTATTTTCAGTAACGCTAAATTTATGTTCATTGCAATTTTAATAGATAGTTATCCAGTTTTGAACAGAGGTATGAAATTGATTATGAATTGCTTCTAGCAGAAAAATCATGCTGCTGGTTAAAACATGATTGTTGCACTGAATTGAATTTTTTGCTTAATAAAAGTTCAATTTTGTCTGTATTTTTATCAGTTTTGTGCTTTCCCAGAAGTCTAAAAGAATAAAATATTTGATTCAAGCTGTATAAAATGTGCTCAAAATTGTGAAAAAAAAAAAAAAAAAAAAGAGTGAATGCCGTAAATACAAAAATGATAAAGTGTACAAAACAATTTATTAGTTATTTTTACTTACATGTGTGTCCTTTTCTTGCATCTTTAAATAAAGTACGTTGAGGAATATTTTATTTATTACAAGCCTGTATATAAGCAAATTGCTATTATTTTTATCTTAAACTAATTTAATTTTCTTGCTTAAACATTTCTTGATCTTTTCCTAAGAAATCTTTTCTCATTAAAATCCAAAATTTTTTATTGCATTTTATTTAAGTAACTGTAGAAAAATCAAAATTTTGTACCATCGCTTTTTTAAAAGTAATAATAAAAATTTTATTCTTTAGCTTTAAAACTGCATATGTAAAGAGTTATCATAATTTTTTTAAGATGACATTTTATTTGAAAAAGAAACAAAACACACATATATTAGGATTCAGTGCATATACAATAGGAATATTAAACATACTTGACAGATTGTGTTGTATGATTTAGAATTTGTTATATATCAAGTATCTATTCTTTTCCAAAGTTGGGAATTTACTTTATGAAGGTTTTGGGGGGGGGTAAATAAATAAAGTTAAATTATGTATGTAGGAGGTATGGACATATCTGAAATGACAATTTTTTTGTTATTATCGATTAATCAAAAAAACATTTAAAAAATTAGTTTAAAAAGTAGAAAAAGCATTTGCTATGTTACTTACTTATAACACCAAAAGCAAAATTAATTGAAAAGGCACTGTATATCAAAATTATTAGTAATATTCATATTATTCTGGCTGTAATAATAATTTACAAGTTTTAGATCAAGTATAACTTCTTTAAGTTTTTTTAGCTTACTTTGTGAATTCTGATTAATTAAATCGCCTTACAGCTAACAAGATGAGGGAAAATATGTTATCTCGAGAAGTAAAAAGGATTTTCTTTCACATGAACAAAAAGTTTTCATGTTTCTTTTAAATATTCATTAAATATTTTCATTGAACAAATTTGAGTAAAATTAGAAGAAATGATAAACTGTGATATTATTGCATGTTGCGAGTGAATATTTTATTAACATTTTGTCAAACATTTTTAAACATAAATATTTTTATTAAGGTTTTTAGTAACACTAATTTTCTCTTCATTTAAGTTGTAATATTAATGATGGTTGTAAGTGAATTTTTGAGTAGTATTTTATAGAAGTTTTCAGTAGCAATAAATGTTTAATTTAAATTCTCTGATATGGAATAATTTCATAATTTAGTTAGTTATATAATAGTATTTCATAACATCCACTCTTACATTTATTTGAGTTTTATACTATTTAAAAAATTCTTGACTTTGAAAGTTGGTGAATATTTTTAATTAATCCCTTGATGAACAAAATTCGTAGTTTATGTGCTTGCTTAAACATGCAAATTAATTTACTGCTAGGCTAATTTGCTGCTATTAAAAATTTTATTTAAATTTTTCAAATGTAGGAAAAAACAAAAGGAAATTTTACATAAAATTAATAATAATTTTGCATACCTTTTTCAAGTTTTTGTTTGGAATCTTCTTTCTAAGTAGAAGTAATGATTGCAATTAATAATGTTGCTTATTTTGCAGTTGGAAATTTTGATACCATGCATTTCAGAATGTTTTTGAATTATGAAATAGAAATATTTCTCTTTCAAAAGAATGAATACATGTCCTTCAATCCACAGCTTGTTTACATGCAGCATTTTAAAAGAATAAATTAAAAAGTAGTAGATGAAATTTCTTATTTCAAATAATAAGCTAATGCCAGAAATTTTTATTCCATAATTTTTCCCCCTATCGAAATCATTCTAAAATTGTTTAAAACCCTGTGTGTGAATCAAAAAGTTGTCTATAATTACAACAATTTTCATCCAGTAAATCAATCAATTTGAAATTTTACTGAGTCTCTGGTATGAAATTCTTTTCAAGCCAGTCATCCATGTTAGTGTATTTGAATGGTAGGTGATGGTAAAAATCTTTACTCCTTTGAATTCCTGAAATTGGGAATTTTTCCAATTGTTTAAGTTTATATTTGTATGTTTCTGCTGCATTTGCACATACTGACATTGTTAGCCTTGCTTTGGAATCTTTGGTGCCAGTTAAAGCTTTTCAGGAGAGATCACCAAGGTATTACATATTACCTAAAAAAAAAAAAAATCAGTTTTGCCTGCATCATTAGAAATAACTTTTCACTATTAATAAGTTTGATAAATTGATCTGCAAATTGTTTAGCTGCTTCAGTATCAGCTGAAGCTTTTTCACCTGAAATTTTTAGCTGCCTTATACCATGGTGATTCTTAAATTCGGTTAACCAACCTGTCTGATATATTCATTCACATTTTTAAGACCATTTCCTTGTGAAATATTTTGGCTTCATCCAGAATATTTTATCAGGCATTCTAACTGTCACATTTTATACATGGCACCCCCTTCTCTGTGATACTGTTTTTGTTGTTGTTCACAAATAGTGTGTTAGAATCCACAAAAAGTTCTTTTTCCTGTTTTTTGTGTGATATACTGTTGACTTTTCAGTGCCATACTCCTTGCATAATTTTGAGACAGATATGCCTTTATCCATTTTTTGCTTGATTAATTTCAAAACGTGCTTTTTCACTTTGCAGATCCTGCTGCAGCTTCAGAATTAGAAATTATTTTCATCATTATATAGAATTCAGACTTTTGATAATATAGCTGTAATAATAATACCCTTCAAAAAATAATAAATTACATCAAATTGAAAGGTAACATAAGTTACCTTTAACTAAACATTAAGTTCCTTGGAATCTAATTCTTTCTCCCTTCCACACAAAAGCAAACCAGTAGGAGAAGCACCCCATTCCTAATAAATATGTCCTGAGGCTTTATGTATTATTTAGGTTAGATAAAAATTATAACCGTCCATAGCCACTCGAGGGCCAAAAGTATAATTATGGCCAACACCAGTACAGTATCGATCAATGTGTTATTATTGGTCTGGGTGTGATTTCCTAGCCAGCAGATGTTTAAAAATAATATCATTAATCTTAGTTGCAAAAAAAAATTATGGCACACTGCTTTTCTTGAGTAGTCTGCATTCTGAGGCACCATAAAAGAGAAAAAGATTATTATTATTATTATTTCTTTACGTGATTTAGTAATTAGATCATTCTATATGTTGAATGTATGGATTTTTGACTTTGTAGTGTATTTTTTAAATAAAAACTGGTCATTTTCAAATGAGGCAAATTAATTTTAATTAACAACTCTGAAGCAAAAGCATTGTTTAAAAATTAAACACTAATCTGCTCTTTTGCCGTATAACAAAACAATTTTGTAACTGAAAAAAAAAAGGTAAATTCAATGAAAAATCATTGAAATTAGAAGTTTGCACAAATAATACATTTTAAAAAAAAAATTCTTTTCCAGTAATGTAACACTTGATGATCTTGCTATTCCTGATACTTATTGTTCAAATATTCCTGATGCTGGTTATCATTGCCCAAAAGGAATGGTATGCATGGAACTTGAGTTACCAAAAAGCATATCTGGCTTTAACGGTTTTGATGATTTCGGTAAGTTATCAAACAATTTTTTTTTCATTGTTTTTACTCCCCCTCCAGTGGCAACGAATTAAAGGTACCGAGAGTTAAATCGGACTCTACGTCCAAACGTGTATACTGAAGAGCACTTGTTTTCTGGGATCCAGGCACAGGAACTGACGTAGTAGCAGATGTTGGTGTAGACCCAATAGATGAAGGTGCTTTCGAAGGAGGTGGGACTGATGTACCAGTCTCGACAGTTTGTGGTGCTAAGATAAAGGCTGGTTTGAGACGATCAAGGCTCACCACTGTCTCTTTGTCGCCGATTAGTATCCGATAGTTCTTGGATGTGCGACTTAGAACTAGGTGTGGGCCTGTACAGGTAGGCTCCAAGGACTTTTTTGATGCATCACACCGTAAGAACACATGTGAGGATGTAGCGAGTTCTTTAGGAACAAACACAGGTCTTGAAGAATGTATGCTTGTGGGCTTAGGGTATAATGCAGTCATGGTTTCACGCAATTGTTTGAGGAATGCATGGGGCTGGACATTGGGTGAGTTTTTTTGCAGGATTTATAAAATCTCCCAGTAAACATAAATTGGTACCATAAACCATTTCAGCACTTGAAGAACCCAGGTCCTCTTTAATAGCCATTCTGAGTCCTAACAACACAGTAGGAAGGACATCAACCCAGTGAATAGCAGTATGGCATCTAATGGCCTGTTTAAGAAAGTGATGGAACCTCTCGACAAGTTCATTGGAATTCGGGTGGTACGGTGATGTACGGATCTTTTTAGTTCCCAAGAATTTTGTTAATGCAGTAAATAATTGAGATTCGAACTGCCGTCCTTGGTCCGTGGTAACGTACTCGGGTACCCCAAACCGTGAAATCCATACAGAAAAAAAGGTTTTTTGCCACAGTGTCGGCTGACATATCTACAATAGGGATAGCCTCTGGCCAACGTGTGTATCTGTCGACACACGTAAGAAGATATGTATAACCTAGTGATGGGGGTAAGGGTCCAACCAAATCGATATGTACGTGGCTAAAGCGAGCAGATGGTAACTCAAAGCGTTGACATGGAGTTCGAGTGTGCCTGTGAATTTTTGATTTTTGACAGTCTGTACATGACCCTCGCCCATGCAGCGATGTCCTTCTGCATACCAGGCCATACAAAACGCTGTTGAATTAACGTGCGAGAAGCACGGATGCCAGGATGGGATAAATTATGGAGGCCGCTAAAAATACCATGCCGGAATTTCAGTGGAATGTATGGCCGCACCACATTACCTTGCACATCGCAGTACAGTGAAAGATCTGGTTCTAACTGCATAGGTACTAAATTAAGTCCATGAGAAGACTTGTCAGACAAAAGATGTTGCAATTCTGGGTCCTGTTTCTGACATTCAGCAATGGCGGAGAAATCTGTTGTTGATGGCAACTGAACCTCTTCAATTCTGGACAGAGCATCAGCAACTGTATTTTGAGGGCCTTCTACATGCCTAAAATCGGTTGTAAACTGCGCTATGTAATCAAGATGACGCATTTGCCTGGGAGAAGCCTTGTCAGGCTTTTGTCGAAAAGCGAAAATTAGCGGCTTGTGGTCGGTATAGATAGAAAACACACGACCTTCTACCATATGACGAAAATGTTTAACAGCCTCATATGCACTAAGAAGTTCGCGTTCGTACGTGCTGTATTTTGATTACGCTGCAGAAAATTTTTTCGAGAAGAAAGCCACAGGCTTCCATGCTCCATCTACCAGTTGCTGCAAAACCGTGCCCATGGCCGTATTAGACGTGTCAACCATTAATGCCAAAGGGTGCTTAGAAGGATAGCTAAGAGCTGTTGCCGACGCTAAGTCATTCTTACATTGTACAAAGGCTGTACGGGCATCATCAGACCAAATAATTGGCCGCGTATCTTTTTTTTTACTCGCAACCAAATATGTGTGCAAAGGTGCCTGCTTTTCAGCGGCATGAGGAAGAAAGCGACGATAAAAATTTAACATGGCCAGAAAACGACGCAGCTCCTGAACAGTTTTTTGGCTCTGGGAAATTTTGAATTGCAGTGACTCTGTCACTAAGTGGGCGAACGCCCTCCGAAGAAACTTCGTGACCAAGAAATGACACTTTAGATTTCCCGAAAACACATTTTGATGGATTAATGACTACACCATAAGACTGAAATCGGCCAAGGACTATGCAAAGGTGTTCAAGGTGCTGGTTTTCAGTTGTCGAGGCTACCAGAATGTCATCGAAATATGGGACACAAAAATCTAAATCTCGAAGGACTTCATTAATGAAGCGCTGAAACGTTTGCGCAGCGTTACATAACCCGAAAGTCATGACAGGAAATTCGAATAATCCAAAAGGTGTTATTACAGCAGTTTTTGGTATATCAGGTGGATTGACAGGGATCTGATGGTAAGCACGAGTAAAATCTAGCGTAGAAAAATATTTTTTCCTTCCAAGACTTGCATGCAGTCCTGAATATGAGGAACCGGATATCTATCAGGCAAAGTAACTGAATTAAGACGTCGATAATCCCCACAAGGACGCCAGTCGCCGTTTTTCTTAGGGACCATGTGGAGTGGACTGGCCCATGAACTTTTAGATGGCCGACAGATTCCTTGCTCAAGCATGTATTTAAATTCTTCTTTTGCAGCCTTTAATTTCTCTGGAGGCAACCGCCGTGCTTTGGCAAAGATTGGTGGTCCAGTAGTCTCTATGACGTGTACAATACCGTGGTCAGCAGTCGGTTTGCCAGTTACTGAGCGGATGACGTTAGGGTATTGCTCAAGTAGTTTGTGGAAAGGAGAATTACCGGAAATTAATTTAATTCCAAAATTAGTGGCATTTCCAATACTACCTACCTACCGCGGACAATTGTGTGATGGAGTCGAGTAAGCGTCGAGTTTTAATGTCGACCAACAGAGAAAATTTTTGCAGAAAGTCTGCACCAATTATTGGGTGCGAAACCGCAGCGATGACAAATTGCCATTGAAATTTGCGACGCAATCCTAGATCCAAAGACATTAATATTTCTCCGTATGTTGCAATTTTTGACCCGTTAGCTGCAAATAAGTTAAATTTTCCAGGCATTCGGTTTGACAGTGTAAAAAGAAAAGTTGAAAAGACGGGGCCGTTGTCACTCATGGCTTTCTGAAATTTGCATGGAGGTGTACACTTGCACGCTTTATCACCGAATCGGCTGTGATAGAAACAAATGTCTGATTGAGTACCAGAATGAGCGCGTTGGTATTCCCTATTATTTCGGTTCCGGGACTTTGATCTACCGCGCGGATGATACTGAGATCGTGTCTGTAAGGCTGCGACCTGCAATGATAATTCCTGGATTTGTTGTTGAAGAGATGAAATATCAACACTGGGATGCTGAACTTGACTGATTGCTTGTGGTTGGAGAACATCATGAATTTTGTCTGCCATTTGGGCCAGTTGGGGTAGGTTCTCGTTACTGGAGGCAAGAATAGCTTGGATATTGTTCGGGAGACGATTGAGCCACAATGATTGTAAAACATTGGACTTAAAATTGTCACCCGCAAGCTCCTGCATTTTTGACAATAACTGGGATGGGCGCATATCACCAAGTTGCAAATCTTGTAATAACTGCTTTAGTTTGGTGTTTTCAGACTCCTCATAAACTGAAATTAATTTATTTTTCAATTCCTCGTATTTATTATCCGAGGGGGGTTTCAGAACAATCTCGCGTACTGACTGAAGAACCTCAGTGTCGAGGGCGGAAATTGCAGTATAAAATTTCGTGTCGTCGCGTGTTATACCCCCGAGCTTGAATTGTGCATCTAATTGAAAAAAACCAAAGGTTGGGGTCACTACGGCAAAATGGGGCAGGTTTCACAGCAACGCGAGCCATTTGTTTGTCATCAGTGGCTAGAGGATCGCTAGTAGCCATAATAAATATGAATAAATACAGATAACAAAAAAAAAAAAAACGATATAGTTCAAGAATATTGTTGCAGTACACGTGAAGAAACACAAAATAATTAATGTTAGGACCTGGGTTCAAATGAATATAGGAAAAAACTCACCCGCTTGACGAATACATACGAATCCATGTGCGGAATAAAAGGTAGAAAATATCACCTTGATGTACAGAAATTATCCACTCGCTTGATGTTGGAACACTATCACTAATGGAAGATGAAGGTAATCCGCATGTCTGAAAGATGATCACAAATGGAAACATGAAGGTAATCCACGTGGCTGTAATATGATGAAACTGATGCACGATCCAATAGACACGATAAGTAATCCAATACACATAAGTAAAAAAATATTGGTTCAGCTGCATTTCGCACATTATTACAAGGTCTTGTTTAAGCACAAAATTTCTGCTGTACTATAAATTTCGACGATTCATTTGGCTTAAGCCTCACCGTCCTGAAGTTACCATTTGTTGCACGTGGTTGCGGCTGTGTGTGCAACAACAAACTATGCATATTGGAATTTTCCAATGCTTTTAAGGATGAATTCATAACATGCCATAAGAGCCAATTTTTGATAACAAAAACATTTAATCACATCACAGTATTAAAACTTAATTACTACAGTCGACAGACAATCACGTTGGAGGAAAGCGAGCGACCAACCGCACGGACGACGAGACGTGACTGTGTGTCGCTGAAATCACCTTCGGTTACAGTTAGTGATAACGGCGTGCAGTTGGCGAGTACAACACATGTTTACAGAGTCGCCACAATATCTTCATTAAATTTGAAATCTGAAAGAAAAAATTTACATATAAATCTGGACAAAATAGTTCGGAAAATACAGTGAGTTTAAATTCTTATCTAAAGATCATACCTACTGGAATTTAACATTTTTATCAATGTTTTATGTAATTTGCTCATATGAATATAGGTTCTCGTATGATATGGTCAGCAATATTAAAAAAATTGCTTTGTAGCCTGTAGCATATTAATGTAAATATTAGTATGATATTAAATTTTTAAAAAATTAAGCATCAGAATTATTGTTGATATTTTATATCAATGATAAATTATTTGGCACATAGTAATTCATATTGTGCTTTTTATTTTATATAGCCCACAGCTTTTTTACTGTTTATCAGGCAGCCTCTCAAGAAGGCTGGGCCCTTCTCATGTATAAAGCTATGGACAGCCTCCCAGCATGGAGAGCCATTTGTTATTTTACTACTATGATTTTCTTCTTAGCTTGGTTGGTTAAGGTACTCATGAATTCATACTTCTGAAATTAATATTCATAAATATGATTTCTTTATCTATAAATTTGTAAAATTTCCTTAATCCATGCATTATTTCTAATTAAATTAATCATATGCATTATCTTCTTTCCTGTAGAATGTTTTCATTGCTGTAATAACAGAAACATTCAATGAAATTCGAGTTCAGTTTCAACAGATGTGGGGAGAGAGAGGAACAATTCAAACTAGGTCTACACCTCAGGTATGTCATAATCTTCATTATGTATTTTCTTTCAAAATATGAATACAAATAATAATATAAATTAATAATTTCTTAGTATCGTTTAAAAACATTTTCTATTTCAAATTTGTGAATAGCAAAATAATTAGTTTAAACTGATTCAGGATTTAGTTATTTTTCAAAAAATTAAGATTCATTTTTAGAAGAATGTATGCAGACATTAGACCAGTGTTCTCAGAATGGGTGCAGTAAGGGGAGGGGGAAAGGCAGTAAAAGCTATCCATTTTTTCATGTATGGACTCATAGTTCTAAGAGCAACTTGAATTTAAATGTATTTATTTCATTTCTAAAACAAGAAATAACATCAAAAATAAAATTTATTAATAAAATATGGAGCATGTTATATCGTGAGTTTACTTATAAAAGGTTTCTTTTTGTGTTTCCAACTACATTTATGTCTGATGGTAAATAATTCATTGGCTGAAAAGAACACTTCATCTTTTTTTTTTCCCCATATTATATTAATATTTTTCTTTTTTATTAATTTTGCCTGACCAAAATCTGTTACAAATGACAGGAAAAGAATAAAATGAGCAAGAATGCATGAAAAAGTAATTAAATGATTTCTATGTTAAAAATTCTGTTATGTTTTCTGCTTTGCTTCTTTTTCTCTATTATTATTTTTAATGGTTAAAAAATTTTCTTGTGTTCTAAATGTATTTCTTCACATATTTTCCTCTCTTTCATATCCCTCCCCAGCTTTATAGTGCAAGGTTCTGAAATTTTTTTGAAGTGTTCACATAATTTTTCCCTTTCTCAAGGTTTCTTAAAGTTAGCTATCCTAAATTTTCAAATAGATTCATCCACAAAGGGATCATTTTGGTCTTAGTAATTGATTTTCCCATAAATTTTGGATGCATGGGTTATGATTTATGAAACAATAATAGTGAAGTGCTGCAAGAAAGCAAGCATTTCTAATATTCTTGATGATTTTTGAAGATAATTTCATATGAGAAGCTAGACTGAATGATGGCAATGACAATAGTAGTGATGATAGCAACAACTTGTAAGATGTAGCAGATGGCACAAACAGCAGTTCCAGCAGCATTAAATGGTTTGAGGCCTAGGAAGTAGCAGTGGATAATAATAACAATGAATGAAATTCAAAATACGTCAAAGCATAAATGAGGATATAATTAACTATTGTAATGTTGATAATACTGTATATTCTTACTAAAATGTAGGTTTCTTCTAAATAATTAATATTGTAGTAACTACCCATTTTCAAATTTTGCTTACATATGCTGTTCCAGAAGAAAAGAAAGAAAACTCAAGATAAATTACGCTTAAAGTTTAATTTGAGATAGATAGAGAGTTCATAAAGAGGATTATAAATATATTTCTACAATTCAAAATATGAAAAAATCAATTGAAATGTTTTAGATATAAATCTTAAAATGTGTGATCATAGGCAAATGCCTGTCCCTTTCAAGTTTCATGTTATTTAACCTCTTTGATTTGTAACCTAACTTATTTTTTTGGTACTTACGTATTATCGCAACCAGGTTGGTGCTATTTGTAACTTTGAGTAAAAAAGTATGAATAGAAAGAAAATGTACATTTATTAATTACAGATAATTTTTAATACAGTTTTTTATATTATTTTGTTTTAAAATATAAAATAGCAATTAAACTCTTCCGGTTTCGAATTTGAATAAGTTGAACCCTACTTACGTAGTTTTGTAAAAAGAGTATGTGGAGATTCACAAAATTTTCCTGCATTTTCGTGCAAATTTTTGTAATTTATGAGAAAATAGCAGTGTACATGGATAAAGTCAAGAGTGTGCGCAATGCCATTTTTGTGCAATTCTGGGATGTTTTTTTAAGTAAAAATAAGTCGATGTGTACATGGTTATGGCGAATACGGTTTTCAATCAGTGCTAAAAGCAATAGCCAAAAGATTTCCGCCGAAAAAATAATTCTGCAACTTATTCAAATTCGAAACCGGAAGGGTTTAATAAGTTGCAGAATTATTTTTCCGGCGGAAATCTTTTGGCTATTGCTTTTAGCACTGATTGAAAACCGTAGTCGCCATAACCATGTACATGCCGACTTATTTTTACTTAAAAAAACATCACAATTGCACAAAAATGGCATTGTGCACACTCTTGACTTTATCCATGTACACTGCTATTTTCTCATAAATTACAAAAATTTGCACGAAAATGCAGGAAAATTTTGTGAATCTCCACATGCTCTTTTAAATTGTAGAAATATATTTCTAGTCATTTTATGCAATGCATTGCTCAAATTTAACTTTAAATATTAATCTATCTTGAATTTTCTTTCTTTTCTTGTCAGACAGCATATGTAAGCAAAATTTGAAAATGGGCCATTATCCATGAATACTTTTCATTTGTAATGTTTTTACTGTAATCACATCTTTGAAGTTAAATTATTTGCATAATTTTTCTCTCTTGGTTTCCATCAAATAAAAATTAATAAAAAAAGGGGAATGCATGAATAAATACAGTATTGTTACATGCATATGGTTTTGTAAGGAATTGAATGCATACAGGACTGATGATAGCTTGATAAAATTAATTTTCTCAAAAGAAACACTTAACCGTTCTGTAACTTTCACAAGAGCACTGATACAGCTAGTATCACAAAGCACAGACAACAGTTGCACTTCAAATACTAAGAACACTAAGTGCAATGCAACGCAAAGGGCATCTTAAATGTGAAGCTCACACAGAGATTTCAATACTAAGTCAGCTCTAACCAAAAAAACTGAGAACTGATGCTCTCTCCAGGCTTGTGTAGAAATTTGTAGAAGTTCACTAAATATTATAATATATAATTTGTAACAGTATATTTCCATACAGTTTTTACGTGCATCTGAAAAACATACATTTAAAAGGCTTTCGTGTATAAAATTGATATACATTATTTTTATACAAAATTATTTAAAACTCTGTGTCTTTCATTTTTAGATTCATTTCTCATTTATGTTAATTCTACTATTATTCTATTAATAGTTTTTATTTTATTGCTTATTTTATTTCTTTTTTAAATTAACTTTTATGTAAAGTTCACTTCACTTCTTTTTTCCTTGTATAGATTTTAAAAGGTGATGATTCTGGTTGGAAACTTATAACTGTTGATGAAAATAAAGGTCGTGGGAAAGCTCCTCACTGCCTGCAAGTTTTTCTTCAATCTGCAGTCTTCCAAGTTATTGTTATGATGGTTAATGTTGCTAATGCTATCGTGGCCGCTAGCATAAAGTTTGAACATGATGGAAGACCAAGAGAAGAATTTTATAAACATTACTATTTAGCAGAAGTTCGTAGCATTTCAATTTTTAATCACATCTTAAATAATGTGAAATTTTAATGCTTCATGCATTGATAATAATGCATGAACCATTAAAATTTCATGTTATTATGTGATTATATATTTACGAGGGCTATCCAGAAAGTAGATTACGTTTTGGAATAAAAAAATAAACAAAGTATAGGAAACAAATTTTATTATATACAGATGAAAGCCACACTCAAATACTACTTTTCTACATAGTCACCATACAAATTAAGGCATTTATCGTAGCGATGTACGAGCTTGGAAATTCCTTCGTCGAAAAATTCGGCCGCCTGCGCCTTCAACAACCACTTCGTTACCTCTTCTTGCTTGCCTTCCATCTTGCACAAAACTTGTGGTAACCAAGCTTTTCGCTGATGATTTCGTGCAACAAACTTCGCGAAATTTGTGGAAAACTCAAAGAAAGTTCCGTTATTGTGAAATTTCGATTTTCACGGACTTTAGCATCGACTTTTTCGAGAAGTTCGGCGGTCACTATGCTGGGTCTCCCACTTCGATCTTCGTCGTGAACATTGGTTCGGCCATTTTGAAATCTTATGACCCACTGACGCACTCCACCTTCAGTGATAATGTTGTCCCCATACACTTCGCGAAGCTGCCGATAGATTTCTATCGGTTTACAGTTTTTTGCAGTCAGAAACCTTATTACTTACTGAGCGCACCCTCGCAGGATTTTCAATTAACGCAGACATTTCAAACCGTCACAGTATCTGAACGGAGCACAGCACGAACCTCTCACTAGCACGGCTAGATGCAGACTGAGCTGCGCAACGCTCTGACCCCAAGATGGCCGCGCTAGCCCCGCCCCTAGCGGACACAGACGGAAACGTAATCTACTTCCTGGATGGCCCTCGTATATATATATATTATATATGATGTTATTATGTGATATTCATTATAAATACATCATAACTATAAAGTTATGATGTATTTGTTTAAATACTCATAAGTGCAGTATTACTTTGTTTATTTTAAATTATTAATTATGTTTCTGTAAAAGTAGTGTAATTGTTAAAGTAGTTTTAAGAAAGAGTAAATTTTTCTTGTCATTATTTCTGTTTATTTATTTATCCCAGTTATGTTTTAAATTCCTTTTAGGTTGGTTTTACGATATTCTTTGATCTGGAAGTGTTGTTTAAAATTTGGTGTCTTGGATTTCATGGTTATTATAGGAGATCCCTTCATAAATTTGAATTACTTTTAGCCATAGGAACAACTTTTCACATCATACCTGATTTGTATATGTGTGAACTTTCATCATTTCAGGTAGCTTTACTTTTCTATTTCAATACTTTGTATATTTGATATGTATCTGTACTGTATAGTTATATAATAAAAGTATTGGAATAAAAATATTCTTTTAAATCATTATCTTTATTTCAATAATTAATAAAATTTGAAATTTTTAAGGAATAAAAAATCACGATTTAATAGTGACCAAAAGTGAAAAGTGTATTTGTTTATATGATTATTTATAATTGATATATTTCTTGTTTTAAAAACAGGTCTTAAGAATAGTTAGATTGATTAAAGCATCTCCAGTTTTAGAAGATTTCGTATATAAAGTAACTATTGATATTAATTTATTCATTTCTAATATATGTGAGAAATGTTATACATATATTTGCTTTCACTAAATTTCATATATATACAGAACAAATATAGTTTTTCATTAACATTAATTTTTTCAGATTTTTGGTCCTGGGAAGAAACTTGGCAGTTTAATTATATTCACAATGTGTTTACTGGTAATAACATCAAGCATAAGTATGCAGTTATTCTGCTCACTGGCAGATTTCAATAAATTTGAAGCTTTTCCAGAAGTAAGTTATTTCAAAGTGTCTGAAATACTAACATTGTTAGTTCTGTGTATGTTATCTAATTATGTAATTAGGAAATTGTTTAGTTTTTAACTGTATTTATAAATAGCAGTATTTGATATCTTTATGTAATAAATATGTAAGTAAATACAAGAATGTGACAATTGTAAAGCAACCATGTATATTTGGATCGAAGTTATTTAGAATTTTAATATAAGATGAATTTTAAAAGCAAATAAATATCTTATTATGCTATAAATTAAATAAAATGAATTAACACGTGAAAATTTTGCATGCTTATTTAAACTAATTGTGATGTAACAAAAACTTAATAATGTCTGAAAAACTGAATTTACACTGTCTCTGAATAATAAAATTTTTATGTAATTTTTATTGCTTCATAAAATATAAATTAAATGTAGCATTATAATTCTGAAAAATGCAGTAAATAAAATGATGAAAGGCAAAAACAAAATCTTGTGCACATTATGAAATAAGGTTTTGGTTAATTAATTACAAAATATGAATCAAAACCTGAAAAACATTTCTAAATAATTCATTTCATAATTTTGTATAATTCATTTTATATTCAATTCATATTTTTTGCATTATCAACAGTCTGAAAATCATAAATATTTTTGATTTCATTTGGCTTTAAATAAAGTTTTGCTTTGTATAAAAAATGGTGTATGGAATTTGTTTTTATTTAAAACTATTTTCTATTCTGTTTTTAATAAAATATATTTAATTAAACACTTCAAGTCACCTATCTCATAAATGTTGTTCATTTAGAAAATTAATGATCTAAAAGAGAAATAGTTATCTAAAATTAAAGTCCAGTCTTCATAATTAAATAAACATTTTACCATTACTGTCAGAGTCAATTTCTTTTGAATAATTTATAATTGATTTAATTAAGTAATTTTACCTAGCAAAAATGCATAGATATTATTTCGTGATGTTGTAATATCACAGATTATCATAAAAATCAGAACTGTTAAGTTAAAGGTATGAAACCTTCATTTCTGGATTAACATACAGCAAAAGGAATTAACAGTTAAAACCACCAAAGAAACACCTTTAACATGCAGTTCATCAGAATTTTTTTTCCACTAGGCTTCGCTGGAAGGAACATTCATCACAGATTTCTTTCTGAAACAACATAGAAGCTCTAAGCCTAATTTCATGCATGCATGTAGAAAATGAGAATTTTCTGTCTTGTTAATGAGAATTTTCTGTCTGAATGTTAATGTAACTGGAAAAGGAAATTGTTTAATTAGAAAATAAATATTAATTCATTATTTAGAACAAAAATATCTCTACTCAAATTTAGACATGTAAAAATCTTTGATCATATTTTATCACATTCTTTGCATAAAGAACTTTCTTATGTATTAGCAAATCCACCTTAGTACATTGTGCCAAACTCTGCGAGCCATGTGCATACCAATTCTTCAGGCAATCATGCTCATAACATTTTGCAATGTTGCTATTTTCTATATGCATTCTTTTTTGTTATATTCTAAGTTCTAATGATCTTTAAAGACAAAATATGATGTACTTTTTTTTTGTCTTAAATTAAATTTTAAAACATATGCTTGGGAAATCTGCTTGCAGTGAAAGAAAGTACAGTAAAAGTTTTGCAGAAATAAGGTACTTTGCTACCAAATTGTCAAAGGAAATGGCTGCTTTGAATCTATGTAAATTAAAGTATGTATCAGAGCAAAAGAAACAAAAATCTGCTTATAAGTACGTTTATTGGTTGATTTTCAGGATAAATACCTGATTAAATATAAAATATGTACATAATAATATTTATATATGTAATAAGTAATATTTTAAACTTTTCAGTCGTCATTTCTTTTTACCAGAGTTGTTGCTCTAACATGTAGATACCATAGAGAGTTTTGTAAGTAAAGCAAATTCTAAATTTTAAAAGTGAGATGAAATAAGTGAGTCTTGAATAATTTTTTTGTTAACATGGATACAGTGTAATAAAAATTAAACACCCTACAAAGTGGAAATTAATTTAAATTTCTGAACATATTTATCCTCTTTGTGGAAAATTTAATTTCTCTTCATATATATTTACTAAAATTTCCCCCCTTTTTTTTTTTTTTTTTAATCAATATACAATTTCTTCAAATCATCTGAAGATGTTACTTTAATTAATATTTCTAGTCAATTCTCTTTAATTTGAATTATCTGCATTCTACTATTTACCTGCCAGCCTTGGCGCATATTCTGAAAATTATTCCCCCAATAAGAAAAGATTGACTCTATAAAACTAAAAATAAAATGGCTGAACCGCATTTTCTTCCTTCGGCTTTACAAAAAGAATTAGCTGCATTTTGTTCTGATGAATATATAAAGTGTTCATCCATATTAGGCATGTTTTTCCTCCTGATTTTATGTGTATAAGAAATTTAATTAAATTTTATTTTTATATTGCTTAAGCTCAAACTTCAAAAAGAAATCTTTGGAATTGCATGTTGTATATAGAAAGTTTAAAAGCAATGTTTGAATTTTTGTGCTTAAAAAAAAGGAAGAAAAAAAAATAATTTTTAGGGTTAGAGATTGTTAATTCATGTGAGCTATAGCTTATGATTATTATGTATGTATATTCTTGGTGTGCCACATTAAGAAATAATATAAAAATTTGGTTGTAATAATCATAATTATGTAATACTAAACATGTAAGTTTGTTATATTTATCATTATTTATATATAGGCATTTATGTCTATGTTTCAAATCTTAACACAAGAAGGTTGGGGAGAGGTTATGAATGAAACTATGCTGAGAACTAGTAGAACTATTGGACCTCTTGTGGCAATTTATTTCATCTTATACCATTTGTTTGTAACTCTGGTGAGTAGATTTTCTGTGCATGCATAGTTATTAAACTGAAATATATTTATATAAATTCTTTTCTGTTTTATGTATATATTTCAGTTATGAAGTTTAGTTCATGCATAAACTGATCTGTAGAATCAGATGACAGACCCCTGTCGCATCTCAGTTTTTCCTTTAGGTTTAGGCGAGTTTAACCTCAAATCGGCTGAGTGATAGGCATTTCACATCTGTGCTTCAATCATAAACTTTTATTTTAGACCCAATATTACAAAAACCTTTTAGTTTAACAATGACAGAGAAATTAGCTTGCTGTTTCTGGTATTGATACCACTGTTCAGTAGGAGATTGTGATTTTCCATTATCTACTGTAGAACCATGGAATTTTCAGCTTGTAGGTTCTTTGTTTAGTCATTGTACTAAAATTATGCTCCTGTTTCTAATGTATTAAATTCAGCGTTTTTCTTTGAATGAGTGAGACTGTTTTGTCCCATTGTGCAGTTTGTTGAAAAAGCAGCTGTGATGCAAATGATTTCATTGCACTGAGAGATGAATTTGTATGCCTCAGTTCATTTGAGACCATATATATGAATTAAGCCATAGTGCAGTAAAGAACACATACATATGTTGAGCTGTAGATTCAAGGATTTGTGGGCATATAACTTTTATAGGATAATTTTTTATGATATTCATGTTCCTATAACTGAAAGAATATGAATGACAGGTAGTGAGCCATGGCATGCCATCAGGTACTTTAGAACAGGATTGTCAATCAAAGATATCACTCTTTTCTTTTGCATTGATCAATTGGTAGTTTTTCAAATATTGAAACTATTCCAAATAAGTTAAACAGTTGTCTGGAGACCTATGGCTTGTTGATCAAGAATTCCACCTCCTTCTGAAGATTATTGTGTTGCTATAATATCCAAAGGGAATTGATAATTAACTTCCACAACTGTTGCATTTATGGTTGCAGTGTCATTTGGTAGGGCAGTGTTTGCCAGCACTGTGTGCCAAAAGCTTCTTTGGAAGGACTCTATGCCCATATATTTATATAATATATGGGCATAGAGTATATAGCAACATATGTATATTAATAATATATTTATATAAATTCTTTTACCAATAATATATTTATATAAATTCTATACCAAGTGTTTGTATTCCAATAACCCAATCCAGAAGATAGAATTAAAGTGGTGTCATCAACATCTCAATTAGACCGTAACAGATTGGCATAGTATCCTATTAACGCATGAGCCCAGATTTGCCTTGCATATAAGAGTCTGTAAAGAATGACGCACGCAGAATCAGTCCCAGAACAACATAGAGCATCACGCATTCAGAGGTGGTAGCATCATGATGTGGGCTGAAATTCCAATAGAATATCGCACCCAGCTGCATGTCTTTAAAAGAGAGTTCTATGATTCCCACTGAAAATCTGGATTGCCCTTAGATGTTCTTTCTCTGCACATTTACATCTTCCAGCCAGTCTCAAATACTGCTGTAGTGGAGGAATAGCTATTGGTAGCATCTGCGATGGTTGATCACCTTATTGAAAGCACGAGTAGTTGCTGTAAAATTTATAGCAATGTCCAGGATAGTCACATGCATTATTAATGTAAATTTTGTTCATTTGTTTTTAGCTTTAAGAATCAATTTCCTAATGACCTAAATGTGATGTAAGTATATAATTTAGGAATATTAAGTATTTTTTCATCTTTGTACATAATGCTTTTTGTACAAAGATGATGCTTATTTTCTTTCATGCATAAACATTTGCTACTTTCATTTGTAATTTGAAGCTTTACTTTTCCATTTTTGTTGATTTAATCATCACGTGTTTAACTTTTATGAGCCAGTTGTATATATTAATATGTATAATACAGTATGGTAGAATTATACATAAAATGGTTGAAATAATTCTGAACTCATTCCTACCTAAAATAGCTAGAAAATACTTTTAGCTTGTTTTTAAAATTATTGATTTTTGCTATCTTTCATGATTTTTCTTCATTCCTGTTCATATTATTGGTGATGTCATTAGAGCCTTGCAGTTGCAGTCAGAAGCAATGCATTTTTTACTTACTTTAAATTGGCTAATATCAAATGAAAGCATCCTTCTCTAGGCAGATAATCTTTGAATACTTTGCTGTAATTCTCTAAAAACCATACTATACGTGATTCTAACCTATTATAGTGGTTATTAGCTTTTGATAATTTTCTATTGAAAATACCTACATTTATATCTGTATTGTCTTTCACTTCAAATTTAGATTGTGCTGAGTTTGTTTGTAGCTGTAATTCTGGATAATCTGGAGCTGGATGAAGACATAAAGAAAGTAAAACAGGTAAGTTTCATATATTAAATATTGATTTGTTAATTATCTTTTAATGTGATAAGAATTAAAAATCTTTAATGATTATTGGTAATTCAGCAATTATTGAAATTTTTCAGCAGTTGAAATGTATCTTTTATTATGAAATATTTTCTTGCGTTTTGCCCTTTATTCCAACAGTTTGTTTCTTAGTCTCATAGTAGCTTATTATTAACTAAATTTAAAATTATTTAAACTTGAGATATACAATCAGTTTTTTGAGGACTTAATGTAAAAATTATTGTGTTCTAAATAATAGTATAAAATTTGCATAATAAAAATTCAGAGTTATATTTTTTGCAAACTGCTGATGATATATCTGTTTTTATGACAATGTGTTTAATGAAATGTACACTGTGCAAAAAAAGGGGGGACATTTCTATATTTCCCGTTCTACTAGGCCATTTGATGAAATTCAACTTCCATTTTTCATGTCTCAAAAGTGTGACTTAGGATATGTATTAGATTTATATATAGCATTGTTCTAATATAGGTATTTTGACACAAAATCGAACTTTTTCTGAAATGACATGCTAATTTTTTTTCTATATTTCGATTCTACAACTGAAATTATGCCAAACTACCAAGCTTTGTAAAAATCGCAAGAGTAGTTTTTAAAAAATTAGCTTGAAGCTAGAAAATTTTAGCTTGAACAGCTAAAATTGTGAGAGCTAATTTTTTAAATGTTAATTGAATTTGGTATATATTTATTAAACATACTTGATTCCTTCTTCCAGAATTCGAAATTTAGGCTTAATCCAAATATAATTCGCCCATTTTTTATAATTTATTTTTTAAGTTTGTATTTTGAAATATTTTTCATAAATTTTTCAAAAACAATTTGAGTTATAACCTATAAAATTTTTACCATCTCTTAAAGTAGATGTTATTTCTAAGTATACCTGCAAAAAATTAAAGTTTTATATTCCAAATTTCCTAAGATATACATGAATTTACATATTGTCACATTTTGAAATTTGCCATCTTTTTTTTTATATAGCCATAATATAATAATGCCAAATGCGATTTACACACTTTGTGAAAATTATTTGAAAGTATGAACAATGACCATTTTTCTGCTCGTGTACAAAAGAAAAGGAAAATGTGTTGCTGAAAATATGTAACTGAAGAGAAGTTTGCCAAGTGAATTATTTTTGGCACTAACTGAAAAAATGGTGCCAAGATAAATTTTTAATTTTCTCACCAAAAATTACAAAATTTAATGTTTAGGCACAATTTGAAATGTAGAATCAAAATATGGAAAATAATTGGTATGTTATTTCATAAAAAGTTCGATTTTGTGTCAAAAAATGTTAGAGCAGTGCTACACATAAATTTAATTTATATCCTAAGTCGCACTTTCGAGACATGAAAAGCACAATTTGAATTTCATTAATCAGCCCAGTAGAGCGGAAGATATAGAACTGCCCACCCCTCCTTTTTCTTTTCTATAGTGTACATAATTGTTTGAAAACATCTCTAAATGCCCCCCTAACAGTAACACATATTCTGTGTGTTAAAGAATCACCACGGTTTGGAATTGTGGACAATATACTAGGTTTGCAACAGTATTTTGGAAAGTTCTCAGCTTTCCAACATGCTCTTTCAACTTATATCATTTAGATGTAGCACTCAAATGGCATGGCCTTTTCTTTCAGCCTATAGTATTCATTCTTTATCAATGAACTTTCTTTGCAAATATTTTGTGTCAGTTCCATTTGTACAGTATGATTAATATAAAACTTTTTTCATAGCATAATCCAAATCATTCATTTATATTTTCTAAAGATTGAAATTGTGTATATGAATGCTATAAAAATTATGACAAAAAATAAAAATTTCTTATCCATAAATAACTTTTGAATTTAAATTTATGTTAGCTGTGAGATATCTCTGAATTAAATTATGCATATTTTTTATCTACCTTTTCTTATTGCAGCTTAAAGCTAGAGAACAAAGTGCAGGAATCAAAGAAGGTTTGCCTTTGCGTCTGCTTTTATTTGAACGATTTCCAGATAGTCCACAGATGAGTCGATTGAACAAAGTACCTTCTGAGTTTACTGTGCCAAAGGTTAGAAAAATAACAAAAGCATGTATTTAATACTAATTTATTCCCATTTTTAGAGAATAGAAAATTAATTGTCAAGCGCATTTAAAAAAATTGTTTCTAGTATAGACAAATTTATTAAGTAAGTTTTATTTATTGAAAAATTAGAAACAAGAATCTAAATGGGGAATTTGGGAGAGAGGCATTTTCAGTTTTTATATGTATATATTTTAGCGATTAATCTGCTTTCAAATGGTGCAGGATATTGGCAGAAAAAATTACTCAGACCATGTGAGAACTGTACTTTTAGTGATTTTAATTGTTATTTAAAATAATACATTAAAATTATAATTTTCCATTGATTTTTTAAATACTTTTTATTTGCAGCATTTCTTATCTTAAATGGCATTTCTCCAAAGAATTTTTTCTTAATATTCATAAATCAATTTAGTATTAAGTATACATTACTCTATGCTAGGATCTCAATCTCCTCTCCTTTTACATGCTTCTTAATAAGATTTTGCGCTTATAGAGTATCCATCTTCTAACCTCTCTTCAAAACCTATGACATCTCCCTATGACACTTCTCTGGGTTTTTTTTTTTTTTTTTTTTTTTTTTTTTTTTTTTTTTTTTATAATATAGTTTACTGTTATATTATTTTAATGTTATAAACTTAATAGACTGAAATGAATATATTTCAAAAAATATAATTGAACAAAGAATAGTGATTGCATTATTTGTTTCAAATTAACACAGTAATATACATACTTTTAAACCAAAGCATAACATTATGAATGAATATTTTGACTTTCAGCTTTTGTAAAAAGGAAAGCAGAAAATGTGTGCATTGATGAATTTATTGACTATTGATAAGGTCCAGGCATATAATAAAAACTTTAACCATTCTTGAAATAATATAATACCATAATAAAATTCTAAGTGAATTCATATAAAACTTTATTCATGTTAAATAGCCAAATTTAAACTCAGTCGTAGCTTTTCCTTACGTATTGATACAGCAGGGAAGGGGTAGCTGCATGCGATATATTAGGAATTAAGTAATAGTCGTAGCTTTTCCTTACACATTGATACAGCAGAGAAGGGGTCGCTGCATGCAATGTATTAGGAATTAAATAATATGATTGGTGTAGGCAGGGTTTTTAATTAATCAAATTGCTTCTGTAAACATTCTAATCAGTAACAGTCATACTGGAAATTTTCCCATTTAATGATCAATATTTCCTTTTTGACGAATAATTTTCTGATTATTTTTTTAATCAGCATTTATTATAATGCTTTGTTATTTTCAACCATTGCTGATAGTTTTCCTTCAATTCCTTCATTTCCCCAATTGAGAACCACTGTAGTGGGTATAGATTTACACCCTAATGAATAATGGTTTGATATATTATTATAATCAATGAATCTTGACCTAATCAAGTTTCACTTCTGTGAAGTGATCTACAACTTTGTTTTGATTTCATAGTATCAGATCTTGAAGAAGAATCTTTATGTCTTTATTTATGTGAAATGCCAGATGCATTTTATATTTTAAATGTGCCATAACTATATGCATTCTATGTTTCATTAAAAATTAGATTGCTTATCATTTAGTAGCTGTGAAAGTGCAAATTATATATTTTAAGGTGCCCTTACATATTTGCTTAAAAGGCTATACCTGAATGTAAAAAAATTAGCTTAGCAAAACTGCATCAAGTGTTTCAGAAGTTTGTGGACAAAGATCATTATTTGGAGTCATTAGTAAGTTTAATGTGGGTTTCCTTTTCAAAATAGCAGCCTTCGTACTATATATACCATTTCCAGTGACATAGTAATTTCTCAAATGCATTTTGAATGTATTTCCGAGAGCTAATGTAAGATGTGGCAGCTTTAGCTTCCTGTTCCATGCTAAACTTCCTTCCTCCGGAATTTGCAGATTGTAAAGTTTACTGTATAGAGACTGCCTACCATTTTCTTCCAAAGCTTTCAACCCTGTATGTCTCATGTGGTCTAGCTTTATCCTAAAAAGGAGAAATCATTCACATGAAGCAGTTCGGTTAATTTCTTTTGGAAATTTCTCTCTTTAAATGAACTTTAAAATGTTAGTATAATAATTTCCATTTAGAATTTGCTTCTTTTCTTTGAAATCCATCATTACTATACTATTCCATGGGTATTAAAAAAATTAAGATTAACTTCTTTGATGAAGCAGAAACCTGAAATTTCTTTGAAGGCTTTGAATCCCTCTGTTTCCAGATGCTTAACTGATGTTTAAATTTGGTAGCATAATATCTTATTCAGAATTTTTTCAGTTGCAATCAGTCAATTTAAGAACTCAAGATCATTTTTCAATTGTCAAAGGAATATTGAGTGTAAATGGATCTTGATTTTTGGTTTATTTGAGTTTGGCAAAGTGCATGAGCACTATCTGCCTTGAAAGAGGGGATATTCATGGAGGCTTCATTTCTAAGGGAAACTAATTTGTGTTCATAATATGGATGAGGGAAAGCCATAAAAATGGCCATGCAGGGATGGCCATACATTGCATTTCTTTCACCTGGAATCAAAGAGGTCAAACTACTAGTGTTAAGTGAATTTACCATTTGGCTGCTGGTGGGCTGCAATGGATCTTGTGTTCTTCACAGGATGAATTTAGTTTCTATCTTGCACACATGATTTAGGTGTTTCTTAATGATTTCATTCAGAAACCTACTACTCCAGCATTCATTTTAACTGATTCATGAATTAATATGATCTAGTCTATTTCAAAAATGTTTCTGCTTTCATAATGTTCTTATTATTTATTATTATTTACAACTGCTGATAGGGCCCATTTCTTAGCTCATTCAGCACACTGCATTTATTTTCTCTTAAATGCTTTCACTAAGTAGGGCTGATCTGCGTGTTACTAGTTCACCATGTGCTTGTTGAGTCAGGTCAAACTTTTCTTTACCACTTTTGGATAATTTGACACAAAATTCAACAGCACTTATTTGTCTGCTAATTAATAGTAGATCCTTTTCAGCCACCAGGGTAATTTGCATTGCATTTCAACACATATAACAAACAGCAAATAAACGGTAATTCTGTGTAGGTTTTACTCACAGTAAAAAGTGCTATACTACCTATCTTCATATATGGCAATCACAAAATCATTTGAGAGTACTGGTGAGAGTTGTTAGTCCCTGGACTTTCAAAACAATCTGCAATTTTTATCTTTTTTTATTAATTTTGTATCTGCTTTGAAAGTTTGTAATGAAATTTATATTTTTACTTGCCAAAAAATAGCTGACGTGCAGTTGAAAATCAGTCAAGTTGATAAGCATTTATTAAAATAAAATTTCAAACTCTTGGTGTTAAAGAAAGTTATAAAGATTTAGTGACGTACTCGATGTACATGTTAATTTCTTACAGCACCCTGTGTTACACTTAAATTAGATGCATTAATTTCATTCCTCAAAGTAGAAGGTAATTTTTAGTTATGCTTACACTATTGTGTTGCCTATTTTGTTAGAGATGTTTCAGAAATATTAAATCCATGTTCATTATTTCTAAAATATTGGTTTAATTTATATAGGCCAATTTATATATATATGTGTATATTCATTTAGGTCAGAGAAAGCTTTATGCGACAGTTTGTTGATGATCAGCCTGAAGAATCCCCAACAATGAAGAAATTGAGTGAAAATGAAGACAATCTTGTAACATTTCGAAAATCAAGGCCTATAAAGTTAATAGCATCTCCTTGTAAAATTAGAAATACTACAAATATACTTAGAAAAGCTAGTGTCACTAATATTGTTATGTAAGTAAATATTTTTAATACCTATGGGACAATGTAGATAATACAATACACAGTACAAAGTTAAAAGTCTGGGCATCCTGTAATTGGAATAATCTATTATCCAGATCTTATGATTTTTTTGTGCGGTGGGGAAGAGACAGAATTTGGTGTTCAAGAAAAGCAAGTGGCTTTAAATCCATTTTTCTTCATTAGCTGAGGCTTCTTTTGCTGAGAAACATTATTATCCATTATACTTTTGAATCAACCTGCATCTTGTTTCATCTTTAAACTCTGTTGGCTAGCTAGCAAATAGCATTTTTGACCCTTAAGTGCTTCTAGAGGGCAGCATTTTTCTATCTTAGTTAAATTTTAATATTCATAAAACAGCAGTCATAATAATAGACTGAAGAAAATGTGTAAGTGTTTTCATTTGGTTCCGTCTATTATTATGACTCTGTTTTATAAATATTAAAATTTTAATAAAGTTAGTTAAGTAAGCAAAGTAACTTGAGATCTGCCTATGGAGAGAGATGCTTTCAATGAGGAATTTTTTTAGAAAAACTGTCTTATATCCACAAAATTTTAATTAAAGGTAACATTTTTGTTTTACTCTTTTCTCAAAACTGTACATCAGCCATTTGGCCATGGGTATTGAATAGTTGTACACAATATAATTTCGATATAAAAGTAGCCTTTTTTAAATTCACTGTGGCAGTAAGCCCATCTAAGAATTCTTAAAATATTTTTTATATATAATGTGTTGCATAGAGCATTGCAAGGTCATGAGAGAATAGGTCTGCAGATATTTTTTAAAATGCATTTCATAATTTATAATCAGCTATTCATTTCATCATGAGGATGGCAGTTGTGAATTTGAAGGACTTGATGATATCACAACAAAAATGCAAAATTTTCCAATTAATAAAATATGTGAAGAAATACTGAATAAAGATAATGTAACTGAAAAGTTTGATTGCAATGACAATGTTGCAATCAATAACCCATTAGTAGAGAGCAAAATCAATAGTATGGTTTTAAATTCAGAAAATATTGCCATTTTGTCTTCAAATCAAATTTCAGTTTCATGAGATAGGTATTCAACACAACCTTACCTTACGTAAAACTGAATATCTCTTTCCTGAAGAAATTGGATAGCCATTTATTGTTCAGCAAATCTCAAACCAAGAATATCTCTTTTTTTTTTTTTTTTTTTTTTTTTCCCCTCTTTCTCCAGTTACATGAAAAACATGGTTGTGTCACAAAAGAAATGAACCCAACTTAAGATGGATAGTATTTAGAAAATATGAAAGAAAAAACTTTAACAGAAAAAAAAATTTTAAATTTTCTGATGAATAGAAAATGTGATGAATGAAGATGAAGAAACCACTGAAGTATTCATTGTAATGGCAGTCTTTCAATCTTCAGTCAATTTAAATGCAGACTATATTGCAACTGGTAATGAAGAAAATGATAGAAAGGTATTGAAAATGAAAAAATTTAAATTCACTATTTAGTGAAGATTCTCAGCACTGCAATTGCAGGACTTGAAACAGTTTAACTTTGGAACACAGTATTAAAATTGCTGAACTAACACATGCAAAAAAAGAAAGAAAATTACCCAAACAACTTATATTGAAAGAAATATTTTATAAAAACAAAATAAATCATCATATTAATTTTTTTTATTTTTTTTTTTTTTTTTTTTTTTTTTTTTTTGTTTTAATTTAAATTTTTTGAGGTTACAAATATTATTTTTTTGCTATTTCTCAACTAACCATTACCATTTCATGTTTTTAATTTTACAATTTCTGCATGTCATTTTATGGGATTTAAGTTATTGATCTAAGATCTCAAACCACCAAAGTCCCAGTGAGTTCAACCCAACTTCAGGAATGAACACACCTTAAGACTTTGTACTGTGCAGCATATAATTTATAATTTGTTTTTAACATAAATGTGATAATCTCATCCCTCTTATTTGTCAGTATTGCACTTGATATATATATATATATTTTTTTTTTGGGGGGGGGGTTAATAATACTTGTAGTTCTATAATTTTCATTAACATCATCATTTGCTTTTTTTTTTAAATCTAATCTTAGTTTTTTAATTATTCCTAATGTAAACTATTTGGCTGCTGCATTTGCTGTTTACTTTAGTTGAATTTTTCATTATAATTAGTTTGTGTTAAATAGTTTATCGACATTCTTATCATTTAACTGTAACTATTGCGGATTCAAGTCTTTGGTCATGAAAATTAAAAATTCTATTGTTAATTTGTTAGTATTTCATTTACTGTTTTGTTGCTGCAGTGAATTCAATTGTGAATTTATTTTAATACAGTTTTCAATTAAATAATTTAGTGCTTTTATTTCCTTTCTTTCATAAATAATACTTTAATTATAATATTTATCTTTTTTTTTTTTTTTTTTTTTTTCTGGATATTTTGGAGCATTAGAGAACCATTTTTGAAAGTCTTCCATTTTTTGCATGCCACTTCCCTGTGCACTCATTACTTACCATATGAACCATTCTTATTACTGGTAGAATGCCTATTCATGTTTCTATTTATTTTGAAATTATAAAACACATTATAAGAAAGTAAGCAGTTTAAGAATAAAACATGCTTCTTAATAATAGCAGTTTGATACTTTTCAGTGGTAATAAGCTTTATATATATTTTTTATTTAAAAGTTGTTTGTAACCTTATATATTAAGTATACCAGCTAAAAATTTTATACTTCAAGATATCTTTGGAACAGTTTGCGATAAATTTATCACTGTCACTTGAACTACATTTAGTGATTTAAAATGGAGTAAGCTATTTAAAAAGAGAGATTCGTTTTATATATATATATATGTGCAAAAGGTTCTCTCAGATTGTTCATTGTTTATTGTGATTTTTAAATGTTCAGGACCATTTTTTAAAGAGGAGAAATGACAATGGGGTTTTTTCATAAGCACAAGGATATATCTAGTTTTGTTTATGTATTTCTTTATCTATGTATTATGAATAAAATATCAGAGACAAATACCTTTTTATAATGGAATGCATCATAAATTAAAAGTTAAGGTTATATGAATAATTATTTAAGTTATAGCATAACAAATCTTTATGAATTGAGAATAAATAGTTATTTAAATAATAATATAAGAAATTCAGTCTGAATTAGAGCAAAATCCTAATTAAAGAGCATTGATCCAATGTTGTCTGTGTCTATTTTGCTTTAAACTTGTTCTGTGATTCTTAAATATTTTCCTTTCATTATAATAATTTTTCTGTTATTTGAAATTAGAGATTCAAATAATCAAAGACTACTTGTTGGTGATTCTGGTCAGATTCCAGTTCTTGGTAAAGGCCCTAAGCAAACTCAGAGTCAAAAAACTATTCGTTTGGATAGAAGGTAATTGATTCCACTCAGCTTTCATGTTACTTAAATTTTTATATGATGATTATAGAACATATATTTCTTATTGTTAGGAAGTTTTTAAAAATTTTTACCCAATTTATAATATGCAAATTATTATGTATATTTTTAGAAGTATGAGACGTTCCATGCGAGGCTCAATAAAAATTAAACAGACGTATGATCATTTACGTGAAAATGGTGATGGTGGAACTTTGAATCCAACTGCTTCTCGAAGTCCTCATGATTTTGATATTAAACTGCTGCAACAAAAAAGGCAGCAAGCAGAAATGAAAAGGTTGCTTGCTTTCTGAAGTTTAATATTATCTGCTGTGTATATTATAACATTTTATTTTTCTGTTTATTTACCATTGTATCCTTCCTTCAAATAAAAGCAGTGTATTTAATTTTGATTCTTTTTGTATACTTGCATTTGTATATTTATGTACTTGACTATTTCTTTATATCTTTTTTAAAGGTTTCACGATTATAATTTTTTTTAATTTAGTCTTCATCTAATACAGTAATATTTGTATGTTTTGTTGTATGTATAAAAAGAGTACTTATGCCCTTGGAAAAAAATTATTATTTTAGACATGTTGGTTTCAAATAACTCTGTTATTTGATAATCTTTTGTAGCAACTGCATTATTATTCTTTTCTTAGTGACATTAAATTTGTGTATATAAAATACTTCATTAATTTTTGTCCAATAATGTATTCAGCAACTCAAACTTTCAAATCTGTAAATCATTAAAAAATTTTTTTTAAAGCCAGATCCCTTTTTTTTTTTTTTTTTTTTCCAGAAAAGAATTAAAAGTTCATAGGGCATATTCTAATATTTTTCATGAAATTATACTGAAGTATTAGGTTACTGAATGGGGTTGATGGCAAATTTCCTTTCATGTAATGCATAATATCCGAATAAAATTATGTTCATATGATAGCAATTTGATAATTTTTCCATCACAAAAATTTCATGTAAATCTTAATTTTTAATATCAGCCTTTAATCTTTAAATTAGTTCAGTCTGTAAATTTTTCTGTGCACTTTTCATTCAAATGGCTTAATCTTCAATACTATGCTTGAATTCTGAATAAACTGTTTTTTCAAAAAGAAAATCCCCCAAATTGATTTTTCTTTAATTGATTTTTCTTTTAATTGATCTTTCTTTTTTTTTTTTTTTTTTTTTTCCTTTTTTCTTTTTTCAATTTGGGGGATTTTCTAAAATCCCCCAAATTGATCTTTCTTTAAATAATTCATTTCAAAAATGAATTTTTTAAATGAATGTTATATTTTTAATCAGAGCTTCTTTTTTCATTTAATTTATTTTCATTAAAAGAAGAACCCTCTGCTCAAGACAGTATAGAAGAATTGAAAATTCATTGAAAGATATTTAAATTTTCAGGTACTAATTCTATGTTCTAGAGAAATAATTGGATGAAATACAGTAGAGTTCATAATCTATTAACAACAATATTTCGAAATGTTTTTCATTTAAAGTGGATGAATTTTATGTGAATTTAGTAGATAATTATTATTTTACCGAACTGAAACTTTTTTTTATTTTAAGTAATTGTGTGTTGGGAGAAACAAGTTAATTATATATATTTTAAAAATTTTATAATTTACTTTAATAGTTGAAATAGTTATTGTGCTTTTGTGATTACAGAACAGAAATATATAGAACAGCAATTTGAAAATGAGATTAATTATATGAGGCGAAATGGTAGTTCCACTGACTATTAGTTAAAAACTAGACTACAAAATTTTCTTCATAAATGTCTATTTTCAAGGTTGTATCTTTGGATAGCTAATTTAAGAATGTTTGTGCAGTTGAATGAAATGTGTTAAATTATAAGTTTTCTGACTGAATTGTAAATGCCATGATTGTGCTGCTGAATGAAGTCCAAATTTTCTGAATAACATAGCTGCAGATCATGAGACATAGGTATACTAATATTAACCCCTTCGAGCTGGGTAGCGAAAATGCGTGCTTATCGCGGAGGCCGGCAGTGTCTTCCGCGAGCGTCTCTCCAGGGCCGGGGGCTTTTTTGCCACTAAGCCTAAATCCATGAAATTTCCGAAGTATCAACGCATTGTTTAATAATGCTCTATAGAGTATTTAAAAGGCTTATGCTTTATAGATATTTATATATATATATACTTTAATTACCTTATTTCTTGTTTAAATGCATATTTTACACATTTTATTTTAATTACTCACCATTTTATGACTTTTAACATTATACATCTGAAAACTAAATATATTAATTAAAATTCTCTTTTCGTATGAAAAATTTTAAAACAGGGATCTACACACAGTCCTACATTACATTCCTTGAACTCGTAATAACTCATTTGCCGTTTTGGAGGATTTTTCCAGGAATGTGAACAAACGAAGCATCGTCATCTCATTTTCTTATCAGTCTCTTCTGAACAAAGTTTTGGAAAATGTCTTTCAGTTAATCTTTCAGAATCAATATCTGAAATATTTTCCATCATTTCTGCTATTTCATGCTCTGTTAAACATTTTCGACGCTTCGACATTGAAACGGTAAAAACAGAAAGAATTCACGTCTAACAAGATCTAATTATTTCTAAAAACTGAACTGTAAACCGAAATACTCAATGCTTTAGCGCATATTAAAACTTCTACTTACAATAAACAACTACCACGTGCGAATAAAGTGCGATTTAAAGAGACGTCATAAATCACGCCATTCGGAAACATTTAGTTCCCCGTTTGTTTATATAATCAAAAACACGTGTATGTGAGTCATGCTTCTCTCATTTCAAGTAGAAGGTCTAAGGTACATGTATCTGAAACCATATGGGCATACAGTGCCATCTTGTGGCAGAAATTATAGTTTGAAAAACGTTCCAAGGTACTGGCACAAATATGTGACATTCGGTAGAAAACGCAACAATGCTCTGGCATGCCTGCGTGTCGGCCAGTAGATAAGTGCGTTCGTTGCTGGCACATATACATGACAGTCGGCACGAAGGGGTTAGTCCATGATTGAAATAGTAAAGTGCTGAGTACCTAATAAATTGTATGAAAGCAAGAAACACTTGGCAGTCAAAATCAAAGCAATGCCAGTGGTCTTTGTATAACATTAAATAAAAATTGTGCATAACTCATGCCCAGTAGATTAAACACTTCTTTTGCATTTTATTTGGATGATCTGAAAAGTTTATCTCAGAGATATCATGTAAGACCAGAGCAGCTAGAAGAATGCCCTTGATTTTTTCATCATGTTAATAACTTTTGTCATGAGACTATCATCATTCAATGTACAGTATTAAAAAACACATTTGCATTTTGTTATATTTTGCTACTTCTGCATGCGATATTTTCTATTTCTTTAAATCAAAACATTAATTAAAGAATGCTGTTTTCATGATATACCACCATTCCTGAAGACTGTGATAAGTTGTGTTTGAATAATATTTCTTTAACTGCATGCCAGCAAGCATTCTGTCCACTTTCTGATCATGTAAAGAAAGTGGTTTATAGATTACAAAAGAAATCTCATTTTCAAATTTTTATAAGATATAAATAATTTATGCAAATAGAAATTATTAATAAATGTACTTACTCATAATTTTAATGTGTATTTAAAAGTCATAATAATGTATGTTTTTACTAGAAATCAACGAGAAGAAGATCTAAGGGAAAATCATCCATATTTTGATACTCCTCTTTTTATGGTATCTCGTGAAAGTCGTTTCCGGAAATTTTGCCAGACAATCGTGTGGGCTAGATACGATCCTCATATCAGAGATCCTGTGACTGGAAAGGAAAGGAAAATTAAATACAAAACTTTTCAGTATGTTGAAATAATAATGGTTTCCAATTTTTTTTAAATAATGTAATTATGAAATTTCTTGTGTGTTAATTAAATATTATCTTTGTTTTCTTCTCTTGAGCAGCAATTTACTAGGCCTTGTGACATATCTAGATTGGTTTATGATTTGGATTACAACGCTGTGTTGCATTTCGATGATGTTCGAGACGCCTCAAAAAAGGGTTATGAATACTCCTGTATTGCAGGTAATATGATCTTTGATATGATACTGGATCATCAAGAAAGAATATGAAGATTATAAAACATATTATTCATAACTATTTAAGGTGATTCAAATGTGTAAATTTCCAAGAAATGTGCAAATTTCCACTTCAACAACTTTTACATTAATTGTATTCATTAATTGTATTCATTAATTGTATTCATTTATTGATTGGTCTGGTACAGAAACTGTCTATTTCATTTGCTATAGAGCAGACCTTGAAATTATATTTAATCTTGTTTCAATCAAGTATATATTTAATCTTGTTTCAATCAAGTATATATTTAATCTTGTTTCAATCAAGTATTTAATAAAGTTATCTGAATTATGAAGTCACAGTTGCAGTTCTTTAGGTAGGGTATGGGCACAATGAATGTTTTCATCAAGCATTCTTTCAAATAGTTCTTCAATGATGGTAGTATTAGTGACTCTTAGTGTATTACAAATGTTCTTTCCTAAAAGACTATTTGTGATGCTTCCTAGTCGTATTTAAATACTGAGGCACATCTTATTAACAAGATTAACCCAGATAAAATAAAAACTTATTATATTTCAATGCTTGAATCATTTTTGCCATGATGAAAAATTCCTAAAGTTGAAATATTTTGGTTTAATGGCATATAACTCATGGAGGAGGAGGTGCAAAAATTTATTGGTAGTCAGAAATTATGTCACCTAACTCTAGAATGGGGATTAAAATTAACCAAAAAGTGCAACCATAGTTTGACATAGATTTTGATTAAAATATTAACAGTTTTGATGGCAATCAGATACATACCCTTCTTCTTTAAGAACAAAAAGTTTTGTTGAAAGAGGAGAACTTGTGTGTGATCACCCTGAAACTGAGGGAATTTTATTGAAAATCTGCAACAATTAAAGTTGATTTCTTTACCTAGTTAATTTTTACATTGGCTTTTTTTTTCTGTTCTATTTAATCTAGAAAAGAGGTTTAAAATCCAAATCTCAGAGGTCAAAGAACTTGAAAATGTATAGGTGATTCATGATCCATGTAGTATTTATTGCATGCTTTGCTATAACAAAATTATTTCTCTGAATTTTGAATAATTATCAGTCTTGCTATAAAATTTGCACAATTGTTTTAATGCATCACTATGATTTAGTTTTAAGAATTTTTATACTATTGTTCTCATTGAGAATGAGAAAATAAAAAAATCTGAGCATGTACTAGGTAAGCATTATGTCTAATAAGGGATTATTGTTGTTGAAATTCATAGTTCTTCAATGAATAGTATGTTAGTATTTTTACAATCTTAGCATTCGTTTTCAATGATCCTGTATACTGTTTGGAATACTTAGGTAGAATTTCTTAATTGTTAATTTGTTTTTTTGTTTTTCCTTATAGATTGCAGAGTACGCATTTGTAACTGCCATGAGTCTTGAAATTATTCTTAAAACATTAGCAGATGGTTTATTTTTTACCCCCAAAGCATTAATAAAAGATGCTGCTGGTGTCATGGATTTTTTCATATTTGCTGTGAGAAACTCTTTTAATTTTTTTAGTTATTAATATATAGTGTAATATTATAAATCTGAAAGCATTTTATAGATTTTTTGAATTGAATTAAGTGACAGTTCTGGAAAAACAAAAAGGTTTATGAACAATACAATTTTTAAATTATAAAGTCTATAATTTTATTTAGAAATAACATAAGATTCCAGCGGCAAAACTTTATATATATTATTCCTTCTCCTAGTTTTCAGCATTTTATCAGTGTTAATTATAAATATTCAACATGAAATTAATAAGTTATTGTTTCAAATTTTTTAACATTGACTTTGATTCAAATTATTAATGTAAAGCAGAATAGCAAAATAATTACCGTATTTGACGGCATATAAGACGCACTTTTTTTCCTAAATTTGGTCTCAAAAAAGTTTACCTGCGTCTTATACGAGAAGGACACAGGTTAACTCTCAATACTGAATGCTATTTTTAGCCCGGATAAAGATCTAGACACACATAACGTTTTCTACATCTACATGTGTGTGTGGCCTTCTAAATAAGGGTGCGTCTTATATACCGTCAAATACAGTAAGTGAGATTCTTAATATTTCTCCTTTTCTAAACAGTATTCACTAGAATATTAAAAAATCTATCAATCTATTTTACTTTAAGCAGTTTATTATTAGTAGTGTTAATGATAGTATTCTTAATATGTTCCAGATATATGTATGTATTATATCTGTAGCTACATCAACTCTGTTATTTTGCATTTGATGAATAACTTCTATCAGTTCTCTTACCATTCCACTCAGTCACTAAACATGAATCAATGAAGCCAATACTTTTCAGAATGCTAATCAATATTATTCTTCCAATTACTTATGACAATCTTCCATTGTCAGGTAGTTCTCCTAAGAAATTATCAATCCATATGTTCAGTGCTGCTTCATGTAGGAAGATGTGTCATGCAACACATTTAACAGCACTTCGTCTGAAAATATAAAGAATACTAAAAAAAGAACAGTATCTTAGATATGTACAAGTAGTTTGTAAAGTGTGACCTAGGAATTATACTTCACTTAGTTCTTTGATGTTTCAGTTTTAAGTTGCTCAAAATAACAACTGAACTTAGTAAAGCATTCAAATAAACTGAGCAAACATTTTAGAAGGCAATCTTATATTTACTAAAAAAAATTAATTTTGATAACTTGCTTATCATTATTATCATTGCCAGAGTCTTGAAATTAAAATTAATATCCTCATTTGGGAGTCACGATATTGAGTAACTAATAAATTGTCTTAAGACTGCTGAAATACCCTTTCAGTTAAAATGAAGACCTAGCATGATTCAATTTCAAAGGGGTTTGGTTTTTTTTTTTTTTTTTTTTTTTTTTTTTTTTTAATCATTATTCTATTTCAGTACCTTTAGCAGACAATAAATTCAGAAATCTGAAGGAAAATGAATGAAGAGAGTGAAAACTTTAAAATACAAGCAAACATTTTAAATAATCACATAATGGAAGAGGAGAAGACAGTAAGTCTTTTGCTTGACTGTAATGCAAGATGCAAAATGCAAGATGAAAGTTGGATGCTGAGAAAGCTTGTGTTTAAAATGCTAATGTAGTTCAAATGTGCATTGCATAGAATATGGAGTGGTAAGTTTGGGGAAGTGCTCAGATGAGCTGTTTGTTGAGTTTGTCTTTAATTTGCAAGCACCTTGATCTTTCTATTTTCTTAATTTATTCATTCTAATAAAAGTTATGTGTGTAAAGGAACTATTCTGTTTTCTGCCAGTATTTTATATTGAACAGTATTTTTTTAAACTTCTAAATGTGGAATTTTTAAAAAGACTGGGCATTGATGATGGATAGCAGTTGCAGTTTAAGCTAACTCCTTGATCATGAGAACAGACAATGCTATTAATAATTTTAAAAGTCGTCAAGGCTTTTATGAATCTAAAATTAATTCTGCTTCATAAACAAAGGAATCTAAAAGATTACCAACTGAAAGCAAAAATAACTTTCAAAAATTTCCAAAAGAAAAATATTGAATTATCACATGATGTCTTTAAAAAAAAGGGTTGTTGCTGCAAAATAATTATAAATAAAAAGGATGAAGAATTAAAGTCAAATTTTAATATTATTATTCAGAGGCATGGACCACAGAAGAAATAATATGTAATCAAAAGAAGAAAAGAGGATGCAATTGCTGAATTTCATATTAAAACATAAATTAAAAATAAATATCTTTTTGGATTTCATTGTGAATGTCTCTCTTAAACCAACCACGATAAACTTCTAATGGTAGGAAGAACTTAGCCATTATCCGAAGAAAGTTCTTGAGTCACTTTGGTGGGATTTGAAGAGTGCCATTTATTATGAACTTCTTCGACAAATGTGGAACAAATAATTCAACAAAATATTGTTCCCAGATGTATACACTGAAAAAAGCAGTTGCAAAAAATGGTCATTGAAATGCTTAACACTGTAAAAAAGCTATTGTCTTTATATAAATTATCACAATTGGTGCATTTGAAGCTGAATGAGCTTTTAACTCAATGAACAATATTAATTCCACTGCAAGGAAAATCTTTGATTCTACAACATATTTTGGATTTAATAATAGTCTCCATAAAAGCAAAATCTTAAAGAGAATTTAATCCTAAACCTTATATATTATTTTTTAAAACCGTTAGAGCCTTCCAGGGGTTCAGTTGACCTAAAAAAGAGGAAAATAATGTGTGACAGCTTCTGGCATAAATCATGCTGCATAATTAAATGTATTCATTATTTTGTGTAACTTCTATGATTATTTGTGATGTTTCTATTTATTAGTATCAGCAGTGTGTTTAGTCTGAATCCTCACTTTTGAGTTCCTATCATTTTTTGAATAAAAGGATATTACCTCCAAATTTTATTATCAGGCATTATTTTTAAAGAAATAGTATAAGGAGTATAAAAAAGTGTAAGGCAACATATAACACTCTAATCTGGAATTCTACACATATGCTGCTGTTAAAAGTTTTGTAGTTTTGCTGCTGATTTTTTTTTATGGCTTAAGTGTGAGGAAAGTGGTGTTTAATGATAAAGTTAACAAGACAAAAAAAAAATGTTTAGGTCACCTTGTTAAGAAAATTGAGGATCGATATGATAAAATGAATAAAGTAGAAAAATATATTGCAGCACTTAACACTCTATTAGGGATCTGAAAATATGCTGCTTTTAACAATTTTTGTGATTTTACTGTAGAATTTTATTTGGCAGAAATGTGAAGAAAGTGATGTTTAATGGTAAAGTTTAAAAAAAAAAATCTGTTAGCAGGAATTAGTCCAAGAGCAAATTGATAAACTGCAAGCTCAGTTAAAGTGTGTAAAAAAAAAAAAAAAAAAAAAAAAAAAAAAAAAAAAATTTAAAAAAACCCTCTGGTGTGACATTAAGATCTGAATCCTTTCAGATTTTTCATCTTTTTGTTCATTTATTTATATATATATATATGTATATAATTAAATGTTTCATTGTTTCATTTGTACTATTTATGGAATTGTTTGTTTCATAAACTTTTGCCTTTTAAATGTTTTTACAATCGGATAAAAGTTCTAACTCGTTGTGTATTCCATACAGAATACATTCCAAAACTTAAATTCTTTCATATTATTTAATTAGAATGAAAATTTGATATTCAGCGTTTACATAAATATTGAAACTTCTTAGACATATTTAATGATTGATTTCAAAACAGTAGCAATGATGCTGTTTTTAATCTTTTCCTTGTTTTTTTTTAATATATATGTTCCTTATATCACTTATATAATTCTAATCTTATTTTATAAAATTTTATGAAATCTATAGTGAAGGCTTGAGAGCAGCTGCATGAGTTACACCTGCAAAGTGACTATTCACAACTGCTTTAGTGCTTTTTATGGTAAACTGTGTTGTTTATTTTTTATTATTTTTTATTTTGCTCTTATCTTGTTTCTGTTTACTTTTTGTTTTGCATTACTCTTTTGTTCTATGTGTAAATATGCATAAGTTTATTTTGCTGCTTTGCTGCAGTTTGTAGAGTCATTAGGTTATATCGATGCAGTAACATGTAAAATATGCAATACTATTGCTGGGATATGAACTCCAATACACTGACCCTGCTTTCAGTTATATTATAAGATACAGGGAAAGGAGAAAGAAAATACCTTATATACTCTCCCTTTTAAGGGGCAACTGGGTATCAGGGGACCCATTTGCTAAGTCCTGTGGTGATGAGTTATTGTCCACCACCTTTTAGTTCAGGTGCCACTTGTAGAGTATTTTAGAATTTTTCAAAATTCAGGAAACAAGAAATCCTCATAGCCCTCACCAGGATTCGAACTGCGTACCTCCCGAATATGCATCAAATGTGCTTCACATTACACCATGAAAGCATGCAAAAAGAAAAAAGAAAATGCTTTATGAGTTAGTTATATATGGTAATAGAAATTTAAAATTTTATAAAATGGTATGGTGAACTTTTTTATTCAATTAATATGTTAAGTAATAATGAAGGAGATTTTTAATGAAAATTAAAAAAATTTTAATTTAAAAACTGATATAGGTTTTCTCTCTCTGTGTATTTAATTACTTTTTATGTTGGTTTTTAATATATTTACACAGTTCACTTTTTACGTATATAAGCATGCTCTCTGGTAAAACTATTTGCTGAAATCACAAGTTAATTTCTTATTAATTATTTATGTCACCTGATATGTTTTCAGAGTATAAATAAAAAAAGAGTCACTTAAGGAATTATTAGTTAAACTGCTGCATTAGTGTAATTTTGTAAAAGATATTTCTTTTTATTTGGCAGAAATATAAAAAAATTCAGATTGCATGATATATTTTTAATGGTAAGCATAGTTGTGCATTCCCCTCTTAACATCAAACGTTTTTGCTTTTATTCTAATTGTACTAAAGCATGTTGTAAAAAAATGCTGTTTTTAGTAAAATTAATCAATTTACGAGATAATTTTGGTGTTAGCTTTGTGATCCTAGGTTCAGGTCTCATGCATGAATGTTTATGTACTTTGCATATAAAATCTGGTGCATGCATGGGTGGTGGTGCTCCTATCCAAATTTAATATAAAAATCATTTTTATTCAAGTAATAGAAACATTATCTTTCATAATTATTCTAAATCTCTCCAATAGCTTGCAAAAAATATTTAAAAAATTCACAACCAAGTTCTAGCTATTTTTGGTACTCATGTATTAATGCCACCACAGCTGCAGATTTGGCAGTTTTTAAATGCTGCCAATCTACACCTAAAATTTTTGCAACAAATCATAAATTAAAACACTTTATTTAAAATCAAAGTAGACAATCGGATTTTGGTGGAAAATGGACCGATATAGAGTTTAACATAGATTCAAAACAGTCTCTATTTTCTTTGACCTGATGCTGTCGCCATATGAACTCTGCTAAATAAGCTTCTAAAAGATGTCTTGCTGTTCCCCTAAGTCTGTTGTTCCTCCATTTAGCACTGCCCTACATTCTCTCAACTGTTTGTATATGAACTCCTGTATTAGGATCAATAAAATTGTATTTATGATTAACTTTAGCATGTAGGAATCCTTCTTTTTTTATTCTATTTGTTTGGTAACCTTTCTAACTGTCAAAATAAATTGTGCTACCATCTGCAATGTTTTCAATAATTTTAATAAGAAGGGTAGAGCCAGTTCTATTAGGAACAATGACAACAGTAGTTAGTAAGCAAACTTTCATCAATTTCCACAATGCAGTCTGGTCCACCTACCTTCTTGTTTGGTTTATTCTCCATATCCAAGACACATAATTCACACATGTAATTGTTTCAATCTATAACAGTTTTATCTGATAAATCAAGTTGCTTTTCACAAAATTTAATCGATGTCAACTCCTTGCACCAGCAGTATATGAATCTCAAAGCTGAACAAAATGGAATTCTGCTTCCTTCAAAGCAGTTGTCTTTTCTAAGTCCCACTTGCTGATCACACTGTCTTAAATTACATTTCCAAAACGTATGTTTACCAAAATAAAGTTTCATATCATGCAAATTGGTACATTTCCATTTTTTTGCTAAAATATTTCACTCCTGAAAAAATAAAATTGCATCTTCTTAAGTGTTTGGCAAATCCCAAAGACGCATTTTCGTAGCACTAAAAAATGATGTCAAAAATTAGCAAACAACAAGGCAAAAAGGAATCCAAAAGATTAACTGCGTGCGAGCAATAGGATTGCTCTTTATTGGTGCATCAGTGCAATTTCTGCTGTGGTGGGGTTAATACATAAGTACCCTAAATTTATATGTTTATTAAGTTTTATTTGTAGATGATATTAATTTTTTTTGTTATTAATAAATATATGTGTGTCTGTTTCATTATAGTCCATATGTGTTACTGAATTGTGGTTTCTGTTGCATTTTTTTAAAGCACCAATTCCTTAGTAAACCTGTATTTTTTTAAATTATTGTTTAATATTAAATTATCAGCAAAATGTTTGATCAGTTAAACAATGTAAATTGGTATTCATTTTTAATGGTAGAGGACCCATTTATATTTTATATATTCAGTGTTTAGAGGCAAAACATGTTTAACAATATTATTTGTCAATAAAAGTCAGTTTTAACAATATTAATAGTTTTAATTTAGAAGTCAAACAACAAAAATCAGCGTTATATTTTCAAATTTTCACGGGACTAGTTCCGATGGTTTTACCGAATCATCATCCTCAGCTGCAAAAGAGCAAATGAACAGGTAGATATAATGATTAGATAAGATAAGATAAGAAAGCTTGGACAGGAGATAAGCTACTGGCACCATCTGTTGATGAAACTAGAACTAAAACATAATTTCTTTAAAGGCTGAAGGCAAAGATGGAATGGAATTAGGGTCATTAACTAGAACAGAAAGTTTTTTTGAATGTGAAATGCCTCCAGTTCGCCGATGGAAGATGTTTTTTGAATAATTTTGGTAGCAGAAAAATGGAAGTATGATTTTCAGACCAACAATGTTTTGCGCTTTTCCAGCTGAGGATGATGGTTCGGTAAAACCATCGAAACTAGTCCTGTGAAAATTTGAAAATATAATGGTGATTTTTTGTTGTTTGACTTCTAAATTAATATTTGTTCGGCGTTTTATTGTATCTTAATTAATAGTTTTGTTTCTGGAAATAAATCAGATATTCCCATGTTGTACTGGATTTTTAATACATTTTGATACTTCAAACTTTGATTGTATTTTAGTTATGACATTTATGAACCTTGCTTTGACACCTATATTTTATTCCATCTGTAATTTATATATGGACATCTCCATTTCGTGATTTGTGATATTTAGCAGAGTGTTAGAAACTTTTTTTTAATTTTCTACTTTATCTGGCTCTTTAAAGCTACTGTCTGTATTGTTTTCTTTTAAACAGCAAATAATTTCTAAAAGAGATTTATGTTGGTTTGTCTATTATTCTTAAAAATCTCTTTCATGTACTGATTTTATGCTGTGAACATGTAAGAATTGTAGCTACAACTGCCTTCTTTAATGTTTACTTGTTTCTGGAATTTATAAATATAATGAAACTCCCTATGATGATTATGCACAATTTTAATCTTTTGGGGTGTGGTTGCCTTAGGAAGACAATGTTTATTCCTGAGAAATAACGATCACTTTCTGTAGTGGCTTGCATGAAAGATTTTATTACATTTAAGCACTGTTTATTCCACAGACAATGTAACAAGAAGTATTTTGTTCTAGCAGTTAACTGAAGTCCTTAATAAAGTAATGTTTTTAAAATGCTGTCTTTTAAATTAATATTCTGTCAGTGTATAAGTCTAAAATAAAGATAGTAAAAAAATAAGCAATTATGGTGAGAAATTAGTGTCTTTTCCTAGTTTTTTTTAACCTGCCACTTTACTATTTATTAAAATTTTTAAATTGGTATTAAAAGTTTAATTAAAAATTCTAAAAGAAGGTATGTATAACAAAAGTCATACGTTTTTAATTAAGTATTGTGTATAGGGGCTACTAGTAATATATAATGTTAAATCTAAATGTGTATATCTGTCATACATGTAAAATTAACTCATGTTCATTTGTAGGTAAGTTTGGTGTTCTTATGTTGGATGCCTCAAAAAGTACCACCTCAGTCTGGTGCTCAAGTTTTAATGATTTTACGATGTGTACGACCTTTACGTATTTTCAGTCTTGTTCCACATATGCGTAAGGTAGTTTATGAACTTTGTCGTGGATTTAAAGAAATTCTGTTGGTAAGTAATTCTTTGTATTTCCTTATATAGTGAATAGATGTATATATATATATATATATATATATATACAAAGCTCAACTTTTTTATTATATTTTGTTCTGTATACTGTGACAGTATTCCGCATATTTGCAATTTTCAGTTTAAAATACACATTTTCTTCCAAATCTAAAAAAGTGATACATCATATAATAAAGTATGTAAATTAATGTTAAAAGTTATCAAAGTAAAAATTGTGTATTTTTTAAGTATTTTTAATTAAAAAGTATCATGCAAATTTCATTTATATGAAATTTTGTGAATATTGAGATTTTCAGATGTTACTAATAATGTTGTGATGAAAAAAGGAGAAAGATGAGATTAAATTTTTTAATCATTTTTATAAAAGATTGAATATTATGCAAACATCTAATGCAGTATGGATATGCAAGCCTAATTTTGTATCTAAATTTAGACAAATGCAGAATTCCACCGTCTAATTCTTAATAGGTTTTTAAAATTTAATCTAAATTTGCCATTAATATGCTTATATAAATTTCCATTGTTTTGAATGTAGAAAAGTTGTCTTAAAGTTTTTATGTTAACACATTGTTTGTTTGTTTTTAGTTGTATAAGCTTAAAATTATCTATTAATATATCCTCTACTTTTAGTGAAGTATGTTTTCTCTCATTACTTTGCATGTTAAAAAGTATTGTTATTATAACTGAAGGCACGAGATCATGTAGTAGGCATGGTCAAATAAGAATATAACTATTGTCCAACTATAGTTATAATAAGAATATAACTATTGTTCAACTACAGTTATAATAAGAATATAACTATAGTTATATTAAGTATATAACTATAATTAAAGAATATAACCATTGCTTACTGCAATGGAATTCACACTGCAGTAAGCAATAGTTATATTCCTGAAGTATAAATTTAATTAGAAACAGTGTTTTTCTTTAATTTCAAACTGAGTGTCGAAAGCTGATTGTCAAAATGACAAAAAAAAAAGCAAATAATTTCATTTCTGCAACTTATATCATTATGATATTAGTTTTAAGGACACGGTGGCCATTGTGGAAAACATGCTGCACTGATGATGCATTTAAAACTTAAAGCTGGATAAAAGTGTATAATTGTAATTTTTGCTAGGAAGAACAATATGTGTCTGATATTCATTTCTCCGTAAATGAATTACATAATTAAATATTATTTAAGTTTGATCTCCATGTCTTGGCCTTCATATTTGTTGTTAAAAAAATTTTTTTATTTATTTATTGTTGCAAAATGCTTGTTAACTTGACACTTTATTTTAAAATAATTTCCTAATCTCATATGCAGTTTCTGTGCAATGTGCTCTAGTTTATCTCACTCATTTTTCTTTTTCTAGACTTAGATATATGGGTTAAATTTTTTTCAAAAACTGCTTGTTCCCTTTTCTAGATTACTGCATTATTCTTGCAATTATAATGAGTTAATGCAAAGTAAAGAAAGTAAATATTTAATCTATTTAAAACTCTAGGTTATATGAAAATTTACAAGACAGAGTGTTCATTGGTTCGCATTGGGAAAAAAAATAAAAACAAAGGAAGGAAAAAAAGCAGATTATTCACAAAACCTTTACGAAAGTTCCTGTCCTTTAATCAGATGCTGTATTACGAGGGTTTTCATAGTGCAGGGGTGAAGTTGAGAAAAACAAGCTGTCTTTAAAATTTGTTCTAGCTGTTCTGAGCAATGTGCTTTGTCAGTAGCAGACAAACAGCTACCAGTTCACTTTGGAGATAAGGATGAAGTTGCTCTTGACAGCAAGAATAGGAAATGCTCTTAGCAAAGCTGATTCTGAGTCTCTCTGCAGACAGATAATAATGCTGTTCACAGAGCAAGCAGGGGAAAATGCTCTTGCCAGATCTGAAAAACACAAGAGAAGATTTTTTTTTTTTTTTTTTTCTGTTTCACCAAACTAACTAACCTACTTTGATCCTGTGCATCTTGTTTTTTTTTCAGGATTTCTTGGAAATGTAGAGAATAATTTCTGGATACTTTCTGGATACTTTCTGAATATATTAATATTATTTATAATAATATATTATACAGTGAAAAGTCGTTAATCTGGACTCGTCGGGACTTCGTCGATTCCGGATTATAGATCATCAGTTTAAATCTTGTAAGATGGCATGCAGAAATTCTAAAATTAAAAATATGAAACCGCAATTTATGAAATAAAGAACAGGTAATTGTTCTTGTGAACTAAAGGGTATCAAAATTTACAAAAAAAAAAAAAAAGAAAAGAAAAAAAAAAGAAAGCTTAATATTTATTTGTTTACTTTATTAAACATTTCTTTCAATGTAAGTTGTTTAAGTTGCTTCATTTTATGTGATAATACTTTCTCTTTAATTCTGTAAACAGACATACTTTCTTGTTCAGTTACAAAGTTCTGCTGTTCAAGTCCCGTAATTGCTGTGCCGAGAATATCGACTAACTTGTCAATCCAAATTTTTTCGTTTTCAGTAACCTCTCTGTCATCTTCTTCATTTCTTTATCAATTTTTTGCAGCAATTCCACTTTTTGTTTGATGGACATCGAAACATACTTTCGTTTTGTAGATCCTTTGGGAACTCCAGCATCAGAAATTCTATTTGACATAATCGAAAGTTCAAGTTTACTTTTATAAAATTGCTTTTACAGTCTGCAAAAAATAATAAGCTGCATCCAATTCGAAGATTAAGGAACAACACAATCATCAACATTAACTGAAATAGATAATTAGATCATTTTAGCTTATACTGTCCGTTATACATTAAAAGCGCACGCGAAAACATATTCTGCACTTGCGCACACGCATATGCACAGTCGTAAAGGTCTTACGCGCACGCGTAAACGCCTATGCGCATGTGTCAACGCAGTGCATGCGCAGAAGGTTTTTATCTTTGAGGTCCGGATTATAGATCATTCCGGATTATGGGCGTCCGAATTAACGACGTTTGACTGTATATATTAATATTATTTATAATTAACAACTATTTAGTAATCTTGCAAAAATATTGTTCTGTTGAGTATGTTTAGTTTCCATTATATGATTTAAAATTGGGCAAAAAATCCAGTTTTAAATTCGGCGATTCCGGATTATCGATTTTTCCGGATTATAGATCATCAGTTTAAATCTCGTAAGATGCATGCAGAATTCTAAAATTAAAAATATGAAACCGTAATTTATGAAATAAAGAACAATTATGATCTAAAGGGTATCGAAATTTGCAAAAAGAAAAAGCTTAATATTTATTTGTTTACTTTATTAAACATTTCTTTCAATGTAAGTTGTTTAAGTTTTGCTTCGTTTCATGTGATAATACTTTCTCTTTATTTCTATTAAACAGACATAATTTCTTGTTCAGTTACAAAGTTCTACTGTTCAAGTCCTATAATTGCTGTGTCGAGAACACCGACTAATTTGTCAATCGAAATTTTTTCGTTTTCAATAACCTCTGTCACTTTCTTCGCTATCGGAAGCGAATTATAATGACGAGGAACTTTTTTTAAATCATATCAAAGATGGAGCATATCGAGATGAAATACTACATTTGGTAAGGAATTATAAGCCAAATAAAATAAAAACATCTGCACTGAAGATAAGGATAGTGCTGACAGATCAACTTCCAATTCATTACGCGCCCGCCGCGGCGTTCCCTCCGCCGAGCAGCGGGAATTGATAAACAGATTTTGGATTTCAAAACATACTTTCGCTTTAGATCCTTTACATATTAACAAATATATATCGTAAATTCTATTTGATATAAGTTTAAGCTTTCTTTTATAAATTGCTCTTACAGTCTGCAAAAAATAATAAGCCGGATCCAATTCGAAAATTAAGGAACAACACAATCATCAACATTAACTGAAATAGATAATTAGATAATTTTAGCTTATACGTCCATTATACATAAAACGCGCACGCGAAAACATATTCTGCACTTGCGCACACTCATATACGCAGTCGTAAAAGGTCTTACGCGCACGCGTAAACGCCTATGCGCATGTGTCAACGCAGTGCATGCGCAGAAGGTTTTTATCTTTGAGGTCCGGATTATGGGCGTCCGAATTAACGACGTTTGACTGTATATATTAATATTATTTATAATTAACAACTATTTAGTAATCTTGCAAAAATATTGTTCTGTTGAGTATGTTTAGTTTCCATTATATGATTTAAAATTGGGCAAAATCCAGTTTTAAATTTGTAGTTATTTGTAAATACAGATTTTTGTAGAGAGAAGAATTTGATTAAAAAATACAGTATATGCTTTTTATACCCTTAACGGTTATTGTATCGAAATGTAATAATCAGCCAAAATATTATAATCCCCCCTTTTGCTATGAGGATGTAGTTATCAGAATGAAATAGATGGCACAGGGCAAGATTGAAATATACTTTAATGGCTACCAGGGATACTGAGGCATCATTTTGTTGACTATATATGTGTGGAAAATGGAACGCTGCTGATTTAAGCAATTTGATAAAAGCCAGACATTGATGCCCAAAGGTTACGAATAGATGCTGTCACCGGATGTTGACAAGCTGCAGTTGTTAGTACCAGTGAAAAAGGATAAAAAAGATGGTAAAATTGGTAATAAATACTGAGGTGTTGGGGGTTAGCACATCAGCAATGAATGCAGGCACTGGAAATTTTCCTTGTTGAAGGCAAATATGTAGCTGCAGTGGCTCAACTAACCAAATACAATGTAATCAGTGGTTTGGCTGTTCATCATATATATTTCTGAGGATAATTTTTATGGAATTATTTTAAAAAGATATTACATGGCGAAATGTTGTATACAATGTTAACCTTTGAAAGAAAAGTATTTCTGTAAAATTTGCTCCAAATCTAAGAGTAAATTTTCTCCAGTTTCAAAATTCAAGCTGAAATGTTTTTCTTATAAACTGTTTTAAACAGAGTACATATCAATTATTTTCCTTTCTGAAAATGTATTAACATTTTTTAAGTCAAGCTATTGCTATTGGTTTAAAAAAATCTGAAAGCTTTCAGATTTTATATATTTTGCCCAAACAGGTGTTTTTTTCATTTACAGATAGATGCATACACATTTCGAGAACATTTAGGCTAACACCACTTTAGGCTAAAAATATTTAAAAACAGCATAACCTTAGAATTTCCGATAATTTAGTATAAATGTGAATTTTATTCTTAATAATAAAGACATTTTGATATGCTTTACAAAATCAATTTGAACTGCTGCATTGTTCCTTTGAATTGTTTAATATTTTGGTGGATCTTATGAGTATTCTTTTATATAAAAAAAAATGTACACATACTTTTTTCTACAAAAGAAATTTAATAATGCTTCATACATTATTTGAATTTGTATTGCTATTATTGACTAATTTTGGCATTTTTAGGTTTCAGTGCTACTTATTGTTCTCATGTTTGTATTTGCTTGTTATGGTGTTCATATGTTTGGTGGTCGACTAGCTAGGTGTAATGATCCTGATATAAAGGAGAGAGTAAGTGTTCTTTTCATAACTTAAAATTGATTATTATTCTTTTGAATTGTTTAATACTTGGTGAGTCTTATGAGTATTTTTTATGTACAAAAATATTGACACATATTTTTTCTAGAAAAGAAATTCAATAGTGTGTTTTATACATTATTTGAATTTGTATTGCTATTAATTGCCTGATTTTGACTTTTTAAGATTTCAATGCTACTTATGTTTTCAATGCAACTTACATACTCATATTTGGAATTGGAATATTTGGAAAAAATATAATCACTTGAGAAATTAACTATCATTTATAACTTGTCATAAAAAACATGCACCTCTAAAAAATTACTCTGTAGGAAATGATAATACAACATAATTGAGAAATCAAACATTTTATGTTGGAAATTTTTCCTTTAAAGAAAATTGTCTCTGAATACTTTTATGTTAATCTGCATATTCACAAGAGAGACTCACTCATTTAGAGATATCATTCATTTCTATTACACTGATAATATCTTAACCAAAAACAATAAAATGAACAAACTGAGTATTATAGATGAAGTTCACTTGCCACTTATATCACTCAACATCAGTTAGCACTGTCAATATTTTATCTGGATAATGTCTGTAAAAGAGTAAATAAATATAAATAAAAATACCTGGATTTTTAACTTATTTCTGGACCTACTTTCTGCAGAGAACGTAATGACAATCACAGTATTATATTTGCATATATTTGATTGTATTTTCACTTTTTGTGTGTTTTTATTGTGTTATGCATTTTAAAATTTATTTGTTAATTTGGCATTTTGTGTATTTTATGCAATAGTATTTTTAATCAAATTTGTAGCCATGTATTTTATTTGTAAGTGTTTATTTTGTGTGTAATTTATAATCCATCAATATTTAAATTATGAAAATAGTTCAACTAGGCAAAAATTCTTCTAACAGGTCTTTGCTACAGTTTTTGTTGCCAAGTTGGCAATCACAGCTGATTAATCAGTAATGTAAAAGTTAATTAAAAAATAAATTTCAAATAACATATTTCAGCATTAAATGTAAAAGTAGAAAATGTTCTTTGCTGAGGTGCATTGTTTAGTGTTCATTTTTAACTAATTTACATTAATTTGGTATATGTCATACTAGCATCACTTATTAAATGTTTTTATTTTTAATTTTTTGTTTGCCTTTTTTAATATTTAATCATATTTGACTTTATTTTTTGATTTTTTTCTCTGTGAAAAGTCATGTATTAAATAACATTACATTCATCTGCCAACTTATATCATATATATTATGCTTGCATTTTGTTAGCAGCAGCTTTAAACATGTTTATAAAAATGTTGTGATGTAATTATCATTCTTGATTTCTTTTATCTAGTATCATATATTCATGTACATGTATTCAAATATATATACATAAAATTGAATAATAAATGCTTCATGAAACAAGAAAAGAAAAAATATGCACTTAGAAGCTCCGTTATGGAATATAATGCTTCAAAATAAATCGTGTAAATGTCTGCTATTCAAGGATCTGATATTGTTTAAAGAAAAATCAGTGTCAAATTATGGTAGAATCAGTTTTGGTCAAACAAATGGAAAATTAAAGCTATGTAAAATACAAATAAAAATTAATTTAATTTATGTGTATATGAAATTATCTCATCAGGTTCTAATATTCAGCATGGTTATAACATCCTTTACTGCTGGATTCCAGGATATATGAGTATAAAAGGTAACAACGTGGCAGACTCCACGGTAAAATGTGCAGTTGTTTTGTCGAATTTTTCTCATCCCTTTTCATAGTATTAAGAAACATTATTATTAGCTTTTTTATGCACTGAAAACTGGAACAATTTGTTTGAATTAATGGTGGTAAATTATCACAAATAAGCAAAAAAAAAAAAAATATTTATAAGGAAAGGTTTTTTTACTTAAAACAATTTTAATACAGCAAAGTTCTTTTCAAACCTCTTTTTTTTGGGGGGTGTACATTAGTGTTTTGTTCTTTGCAGTTTTCAAATATTAATCTCTCATGCTCGAGGTCATAAAAGGGATGTGCATCATCATAACAGTGTACATGTGAAGAAATATATGCATTAATTTTACAATTTAAAATTCCTTAAATTTGGAAAAATTTTAAATAATTGAATTATTCAAAATTTGGGCTTTGTGATGCACATGGCCGGGTGCCAAATAGTAGTTAGTTAAAATTTTAAATCATAGAGTGAGCTTGCAAAATAGATCTGATCTGCCTTTTTGTATTGATCCCTTTAAGTGAAAGAATTTGAATGAATTATATCTATTTCAAATATTACATGAAATTTCATAAAAGTTGAATATTATTTGTTATTCTTCATTTCCTACCAGTTAGAAATTATAAGAAAATTTTTATATAGAAACTACACATACTGACCATTTGGAATGAATCTCCCCTCAAGTGAAAAAAATAATAATTAAAAAAAAAAAAGAAAGAAAGAAAGAAACTGAGTTGGGCTGGAAAGGAAACAAACCATGCTAGCGATTGTTAATGACAACTGGATTTTTTGGATAGTTGTTGACGACTGGAGATAAATTTCTGGAAATTATCAAATCCATTTTTGCATTCAATGTTTAAATTCATATATGCTTTGTAATAGTCACTCTGTTTTCTAAAATGTTCAATGAATTTGCATTGATTAATATTTTTAAAAATGATGTACATGTACGCATTTATTTATTTCACAATATCTGTAAGATAAAAATGCAGATAGATCTGCTACATTTTTTTAATGCACATGCTACTATTCTTTTAATTATTTAGGAACAATGTGTAGGTGTTTTTATGAGAAAGATATTCATCACCAAAATGAAACTACAGCCAGGTGAAAATGAATCATATCCTGCAATGTTAGTTCCAAGAGTTTGGTAAGGAAACAGTACTAAAATCTTGAGACTATTTGCTATTTTTTTTTTCTCTTGCAATGTTGAAAAAGTTATCATTATATTATTATTATTCATTATTTTTAGTTATTATTAGTTTTAATTAATATTTAAAACAGTTTTTGCTTTATGAAAATTGTCTAGTATGTGTGGGAGAATAAAATATCTTAATAGTAGCTGTTAGGAATTAAAGGTAGTTGATTGTATAATTTTTTCACTGTTGTATATAATACGAGTTCTTACGTAAAATGCCCATTAAAGTCCCCCCCCCTTTTTTTTACAAACACTTTTGTAATTATCTGTCTTTCTTATGTCATATTATTTCTTACATAAAATAAAATAAACTACTTTTACATTTGTTATATTGCTTCAAGACTATAAATTGTAATATAAGTGTAATGAATTGTAATTGAATAGTAATTTAATTTACTATTAAAAAATGCTCCACTCATGTAGTATTTTTTCTTGTTTAGTTTTAATATGCAGGATATAATAGAAAGGAAACATTACAATCACACTGTCTCACTTGTGTAAACAAAGTGCTATGAGGTAAGATGCAGATCGAAACCATCATAATACTAAAATTGGAAGAACAGAAGTGGATCTTTATCTCTTTTATCACCAAAAATCATGTTAGTTCTTGTAGAGACTCAATAAAATCAGATAATCAAATTTAATGGGCTTCGAATAAAATTTACAAGAAACCAAATAGAGAAATATCGCAATGTTTTTTTAATTTTCCATAGAATGAATTTTAAGTTTTGTTTTCAAATTTTAAAGGTTAAAAACAATTTAAAAGATAATTATTTTGTATTGTTTTCATATATTTTTAAATATACAAGATTATAGGCAAAGTTTTCAAAATTGTTATACTTGAAGCATAAGTATGATCATAATCATAAGCTGTAAAATAGTCATTGTTTATGATAAATTCTTACTCAATCTACTTATATGTTCTAAATAAAGTCCTTAAATAATTACTGGTATGTGAATATCTCTAAGTTTTTTTATATAAAAGCTTCCTATCATTCATAAAAATTTACCAAAACCTACGCATGTTTCATTGACTTTACTTGCAAAATATATTTTTATTTTTTCAGACTTTGTAATAAATTCATTTGCATTTTTTTAAATATTTTTCTAGGGCTAATCCAAGGAGATTTAATTTTGACAATATTGGAAATGCAATGTTGGCTTTATTTGAAGTTCTGTCATTCAAAGGCTGGTTAGATATACGTGATGTTTTGTTACAGAGACTGGGAACAGTGAGAATATTTTCTTGCCACTAAAATAATATCTTATTCTTTGTATATGTGTGGTCTAAAATAACTAAAATTATTTCTTCTTTCAGGCACATGCTATATATATTCACATTTTCGTATTTCTTGGATGTATGATTGGTCTCACTTTATTTGTTGGTGTTGTAATAGCTAACTATAGTGAAAATAAGGTAAGAGGGTCTTAATTGACTGTGGTTAATTTATTCAACTAAATACAAATAATTTTGTAGCATTTTGCCTGTTAAGCTGGAATTTCATTTTATTTTAATGTAATAATAATCGTGCTGTTATATTTTGTGTTAGAGATTGTTTTATATTTTGCGTTTTGGAATTAGAATCATAGTAATACAAAATATAGTCAAAATGTAATCACATAATACAAAAGCTTCTGCACAGAAGGAAAATTTGACAGAATTTGTTTGACATATGTATCACTTAAACACTGATAATATTAAATATTTTATTAAAAATAAGCTTAATTAGGAAAGTTTAAAAAATAATAAAAGTGATAGTAAGTATTATTGAAGTATGTATATATATAAAATAAATAAAACAGCTGAATCGCTTGATATTACATAGCAAGTACAGATTATTATTATAAGTGAGGATTTTTATTGACAAAATCCTATATTTTCTAAAATTTTTTAATAATTCCATAGCATATTTCTGAAAGTTAATTTTGCTTTATTGAGCATATATGTGTGATGATTTAGATGTTGAGGCATAAAGATAATAGTAGTTATCAAGGTTTAATATATTATAAGACAGAAGGCATAAACAAGTTGGCAACAGAGAAGCAAGAGAGAGAATGTGACAAGTCCAAGGTTCAGAATGATTTAGTTTCACTTAAGCTTTATTTAAATTGGTTAATTTTAAGTTTTGTTTTCAAATTTGAAGTTATTTTTGGCTGAAGCATTATGCAAGTATTTGCATCATTTACATTATACAAGAATCATATTATGAGTTAAATTAATTTTGAAGTGATGCAGTTAGATTTATTATAAGCAGTTACTATTTTATGAACAAAAAAAGGAGATAAATTAGTTAAATGATTATTGCAAGTTGGAATTTTGATTTTGATATTTTTATCTAAAATACACACACAGACAAATATATATTTATATATATCCTTAATTTGCTATGGATTACAGCATTTAATCAGCAAATTATTTTGCACTGCTTTTTATGTGTAATATATTCCATAAAATTAATGCTTCTTTGTACTGTTTTTCAAGTTATTGGATCACTTATATTTTGTATTCTGTTAGATGTGTTTGGATTTGGACGAAAGTGCCTGTTCCTTTCCAGCCTTTAAGAGTTGGACTGATGGATGCACAAATTAATTTAATTTCATTTAATTTGATTAAATCATATTTTTACTTATATGTTTCTGCATTTATCAGTTCAAAAATTAGCCTGCCTTTCCCCCCCCCTCATTGCTGTCACTACACCAACCCCCTGATATAAAATCCATTTCATTTTCTTAAATTTATCTATCGTGCTAATTTTGTATGAATTTTAGTTTTTCCCCTAAATTTTGGTTCGTCTGGTGATTTTGAAACTGGTCTCATTCTGTTTTTCTGTAGCACCTACCACTTACTAAACTCAGCCGCTTATTATGTTTAAATTTCCAGGAACCAAAATGAGTACATACTAATTAATAGAAAAACCACCATTTATTAAACTGATCTCCACCACTTAATGAACACAGATTTACAAAATACTGATTCTTTAGTACCAGAATATCCTACTTGCACCTATCAAAGCTCTCTCTAGTTCATTAATTTAATGCACTGTAGACTGTGGCTTTATCATTTGGGTATAGAGTGCTTCACTTGAACAGGTTCGACCAAAAATTTCATATCATCTGTACCTCTAAAACATTGTTTTCAGTGTTCTTTGTCTGCACTGGAATTCAGAGCAGCAATATTTCCTTACCTTAAGGTTAAACAGAAACAATTAACTAGAGCAGGGCTTCTCTCCCTTTTTGCTTCATGCACCTTCTTTCACCACTGCTAGACAATCATCCCCCTCCAATCTCAAGACTTGAAAAATACGTAAGCATTTATTTAAATCTAGATTTTTTAATGTGTTTCATAAGTTAAGAAAAAGTATAGAAAATGTTAATAAATATTAGAATTTCAATAAAAAGTACTTTTTATATTTATAAAATAAAACTACTTAACAGGTAAATAAAAGGCTGATCGTGTTCTTCCTTGGAAGCTGTGAAATTCTTCTTATTGAAAACTCCTGCTAGAGGCATTGTAGTTGAGTGAGGCTTCCTTTTCAAATGCCACCTGATAGGAGGTGAAAGTGTACTTCTGTATCCCAACTTTTAAGGTTTCCACCTTCAAAATCCTCCTCTTGGGATAGATACATTATGTTCACAGAGATTTATAAGCAAGAAAAGCATTGATCGTGCTTGCAATCATGAAGTCACAGATTGATTAAACAGACAAAAGGCAAGCTTTCTGGTCACTAGAAATGTAAATTTTGAAATTTAAATAAATCACTTGAAGAAACTTGAAAATGTATGTGTATGAATGCAAGCCGCTCAAAATTTGTAATGGAGACAAAACTGAACTGCATTACTCAACACATACGGCATTTTCAGAACACATACTATATTTAAAAGTGAATCAGCAGTTGATTTAAGAAACTAAAGGAATAATTTACGATTTTATTAACATTGCAATATGGACTTAACAGTTAACAAAGCAGAAAACATCAATATATGAAAAGAGTCAAGAATTTACCTTTGACTTCTCCTGATGACAAATTGTATTTTTACTATTTTTCTTTTGAAATGGAACAGCTACTTGAAAAATGAAAAAATAGCTGTGCAGCATACACATCTATTTCTGGAAAACATTATTGCCTCTTCCTGCAAATACTACTTATAACATACAACTTTTAGGGTTATATAAAACTTTCAAATGTCATTTCAGAAAAGATGTTCAGATGAAAATTTTGTGAAAATGCAAGCACTTTAATGGAGATAAGTAAGTCAATATCTCTGCTAGAGGCTATGCATGTTATAGGCAATTCAGGATATAAATCTGTTAAAATAATATGAAAACTATTTTCGACAATCTGGCTTTTACATAGAAGAAGCCTCAGAGGAATTAATTGCAAACCACATCTTATGTTTCAGATGTCAGTGAGAGAAGTTATAAGGATTCATTATCAGAATATTTGTCAATTCATAACAATACTGAGACAAGGTGCATAAAAATTGATGGTGAAAGTGTTAAAAGAACTGCCGAACTCACGCCGAAATTAAGACCATGCCATCATCAATCAAATCTAAAAACCACTGCAGATTCTCATAAAAATTCTTTAAGTCATGATGAAAATCTATCATCAATTTTATGCAATTGAGAATACAATTAAAATACTGCTGTTGAACAATATGCAACAAACAGATAGAATAGTTATTTGTAAAGCATAAAGGTTCATCAAGAATGTAATTGTTAAAATTTAAAAACTTAATTTCAAAATTGCATAAATAGCTTATTTTTAGTTCTATTTTTTAATTATTATTTTAGAATTAATTAATAAATTAATTGTTATTAAATTTAGCCGCTTAATGAATTTAAATAGGTTTGGAACAGAAATGATTTTAATAAGTGGCAGGTACTGTATTTATTTACAATAGATTTTTTATACTTGTAAAATAAATTTCTTTATTCCACTATGAATAGAATTTAAATTTACTTCATTGTGTTTATTTGTAATAATATTGCCACTAGTTTTTTGCTGCGCATAATTAGATTCTGGCTTTAAATATTTCTTTTGTTAAATGTATATATATATATAAAGAGAGAGAAAGAGGAAGGCTTATAAAAGTATAGATCTAAAATGCTATTTGAGAACATTATGTATGACTTATACAGAAATTGCTGAGTTATAATTTTCTCAGTTGTCAAAGAATTATCTCAATTTGTTTACATCATTTAAGAAATTTTTTATGCATTAGTAAGATAAAGGAACCTTTTGTTATGTATTTATTTCAACATATAAACTATAATATGAGTTATTAAACTTAATTTTTTCTTGGTTCATTTCCTTGCCTGAAGCTTAATTTAAATATTTTTTCTCTTCTCTAAATAATTTAATATTAAATATCTTTTAATCACTTCTCAAATTACAAACATTGCATTTATTGTTAAAATGTAAATTATTAACTCACAAATGACACATTCATCTTGTGACGTACATGAGTTGACCAGAGAATATTCTAAAAGATAGCTTGACTTCTAAAAGGTGCTTGCATGTTTGGATACTTATTTTAGATTGAGAGGGGATACAATTCAATCCCCTGCCAAAGTGTACTTTGGTATTGATATCTACCTAACAAATAGCAATATATTTTGCATTCTGCATTTTGTCATATGATTAATGATTCAAAGGTTAACTAGAGCTTTCTATATATGAATCATTTAATTCTGATACCTTTTTTATATAAAAGCTTTGAAAGAAAATTAATTTATGTCTAAATTATAAATTTACATGCTTAAAGTAAATTATTCGTTTATTGTTAATATAGTTCTAAAATTATCTTTCTAGGGCACAGCATTACTTACTGTTGATCAACGAAGATGGTGCGACCTGAAAAAAAGATTGAAAATTGCTCAACCACTTCATTTACCTCCACGCCCTGACAGTCATAAATTTAGAGCCTTCATTTATGATATCACACAAAACATTTATTTTAAACGTTTTATTGCTGGCCTTGTTTTAGCCAATAGTAGCCTTTTATGTGTCAGTGTAAGTAATATTAACCTATATATATATAGATATATATATTTTTTTAATTGATATTTTTATACATACTATATTTTTGTTTCTTAGTGGAAATCTGATGAAGATCACACAATACCTCTAGCAACATGTTCTGCTGCATTTACTTTGCTTTTCACCATAGAGGTATGTTTTGCTTTCTTTTATTTATGACTCAAATTATGCAGGTCAATTTGAAATGGTTATCAAAAGTTAAAATGAAGTAACATATATAAATGCAAAGCAGATGATTAATTTGTTGCTGCTGTAGCTAATACAAATATGTTCTTTAAACAATACCATCAGTACATTTATGCTGCATTATATACAGAAATTTATATGTCGGTATGATTTGTGCTTTAAAAAGATTCTTGACTGACTTCGAAAAGAAAGATGTGAAAACTGGTAGATTGAAAATAACAGTTATTATGGCTATATATTAATCGTAAAATCATGTTAAATGAATTTGTTTCATAAATTATGAAACATTTTGTATTCTTTTAGTTTTACAAAATTATTAAAAATTTTTAAATTTAGCCATTTCTTCCAATGGAAATGCTTACTAATTATTTAATGGAATAATATAAAAATGATATAGTGAAAAAGCAGCAAGAATATACTTTAATATCATCTGTTTATAGATACTTTAAAAATTTCCAGTTGGATAATGGTAATTGTGATTCTGAAGACTAGTCTTTGTTTATATACAGTAACATCTTCAGTTATTTTCTGACAACCACCCCAAAATTCTTGGAAAAGTTATTTTCTAGTGACCACTTAACAATTCTCAGGAAAGGTGAATGTGACCTGTAATTGCATACCATTCTCAAGTCCTTGTTTCCTTTGATGGTGGTCTGAAGAACATTCTTTCATTCCTGAGAAAAACTGAAATTGTGTCCTTCATTCAAAATTCGTGTGCATCTGTTTATAGGTGTTTTTGTTATGCATTGTCTGCCTGTCGCTGACACACATACAACCCAGGATCAAGGCCCAAGTTGGAGTCAGGTAATTCTCATGGAAATTTTCTCAGGCCTGTTAACTTAATATCCACCAACAATCAGGGTGCTCTTTGCCAGTCAAGAAACATTTCGAAATTTTTGGGCAAATGAGAATGTAGAAGTCATCATAATACACCCAGAAAATCTTGAACAAAAACCATCAGACAGCAGCAGAGGAAGTTAATTAGTTTTTAGTGGAAAGAAAGAGACCTTCTCTCTTGTGTTTTTCAGCTCTTTCAACAGCTCTTTTTCGTTTGCTCTGTCAGTAACATTCTTATCTCTGCAGAGAGATCCAATAGCCAATAGCCAAATTCTTTTGTACCTAACTTGAGAACAACCTGCTCAGAATGGACCAGGAGAGGCAATAAGGCTGTTTTATTCACACAGGAATTTCATCCTGAACCAAAAAGAAATCTCCCTGAGAATTTAAACAGACAGGAACTTAGCAGACGTTTTTAAACTTTTTTTTAACTTTTTGATTAGAATCTTATCTTGTAAATTATTTTCATAAAGCATAGAATGTTAAATAAATTAAATATACTACCTCTTTGCTTGTGTCAGTTTGCTACAGTACATTTGTTAAATAAAATCCTAACTTGAAAGTCAGTTTTTTGAGGTCAAAGACCCTAGTTAAGTAAAATCCTAACTTCATTTGATCCTAAATTGTAAAGTAAAATCCTAACTTGATTTTGATCCTAAATTGATTAATATTTTTCACTAAGATTTGTTAAGTAAAATTCTAACTTGAAAGTCAGTTTATTGAGGTCAAAGACCATAGTTTGCACAGGTTGTGCTTTAAAAAAAGAAAGCAAAATTCTCACCTTCGCTATGTTATTAGTATGTTAATACTTAAAATTAACTACTACTTAAATTAAGATTTTTTATTATTTAAAAATCAAAATGAAACAATTGATTTTTTATTATTTTAAAATTAAATAATAAATTAGGTGATTGATTTTTTATTATTTAGAATTAAGATTTTTTATTATTTAAAAATCAAGATGAAACACTTGATTCAATTAACATTTATTACCTTTATTACATGGAAAAGAAGCTTTTTTAAGAGTGTATATTTTCAGCAGATTAAGTCCCATTATTTTCTCAGTTTCTCCTAGATTACAAAAAAAAAGGTGTTCTTTTCATCTGCCGACTTATTGGAAAGTGTATGTGTATACCTTAGCATTTCTTTAGTGTAATAATCGTATCATTTATAATGTTAAATTTTATGATATAGAAAAAGAGAAATAGAGAGGGGAACATTACAATCCTAAGATTAGAATTTGCTGTAATTTTATATTTGAGTAAGATGTGTTAATAAACCAAGTACATGCAAAACATACCTGTATAAAGTTATGAAAAAATAAAATAAAAAAATGTATGAAGTAAGTATGTAATACAGTCAACTCCCACGATAATAACATTTGTGGTTAACCTAAAATCATAGTTAATCTGATGACAGTTAAAAATGCAGTAAAGGAGGTTATCTCATAAAATTAGGCAAAGTAACAACCTTATATGTGGGTAGATTTTAATCAAGGCTCTTTTTGTCAAGGGTTCTTATTATTTGATGTTTAATCAAGATTCTAAAGACTTTATTCAAGGTAAAACAGGTATAGGTCCCTCCTCATGAGGAGTGAAGAAAAATTGGAGCTACAGTTGGCATTTAGCTTATTAAGCTTTAAGTAGTATTGTGGAGTATTGCCTTAAGGCAGTGTCAAGTGGCAATTAATTAGTTTCTGTGTGTAAAAGTACATTGCTGATAAGATGAAAAAAGTAATGTCACCCAGCTAAGCAAAAAAAAAAGAAAAAAAAAAAAAGGCTTCTTTTTACTATTATATTTCTGTGCTTTCAAAGTTTGTTTCTCGGAATCTTTGTTTGCTAATGAACTCAATTATTTGAGCTCAGTTTCCATCAGCAGAAGAGTTTCTCCTGTGGTCATTGATAAAGACTTTAAAAAATTGTCATTTTGCCATCAAAGAAGATATTGTGCAGCTAGAAATAACATTAATAACCTTGTTGTTCTTCCATTTCATCCTTTTATCAATTACAAAATTGCATGGATTCTGCAGAAGTTCAAGTCACTTTCATGCACTCTTTAATAAAATCCAGGGTTTAATTCTTAAAGATTTCATTTCTGACTTTCTGAATTCTTGGTGAATTTATAGCATACCTTGTCAGTGTGGTTTGAGATATATCAGGCAAACTAAAAGAGCATTAAAGTCTCACATGAAGGAGTATGAAGCTTATGTCCAAAAAGGTCAAATTAACAAGTCTTTGATAGCTAATCATACCTGTAGGTGGAAATTCAATCACAATTTTGACTTTAGGTCTAGAAAAATTATTCCAAAAGCTTCTTCAATCGTTGAATTGAATTTTCTATAAGCTTTTCACATTCATAAAGACTTACCTTGTTTAGTTACTGACTTTAGTTCAGTCTTTCCTAATGCTTTTTAAATTCTAATAACTTGATTTTTTTTTCAATTTTCCTTTCTATTTTTGTTGACAGATGGCATCACCTTTTCATTTGCATTACTGCTTTTGAGTACAACTACAACCGTGTCTTAACTCCCCTCCTTACAACACATAATATTATAAAAAACAACCGATTTAGATTTCGTCGTGGGCATTTAATTTCTACCCAAATTTTAAATGTTGTAGAAACCAAAGGAGAAGCATGAACTAATAAAGCATGCATAGGAGCATGTTTTTTGGACTTTAGCTTTCAACTGGATTTGGCATCTTGGCCTCATTTACAAATTAATTCTGATTGGATTACCTCATGGACTCATAAAATTAATTAACTCCTATATCAAATGTTGCAGTTTCCAAATGAGAGAGGGAGACACACTCTCGAATAAAAAAAAGCATCTCAGAACAGGTGTTGCCCAAGGCTCAGTCCTTGTTCTCACCCTCTTTAATTTATACATCAATGATATGCCAGAACCAAATTCTCTGTAAAACTGCTAAATAAGCTGATGATACTATCATAATGACCAAATCAAGCGATTGGTAACCTGTAACTTGGAATCAACATAATCAACCACTGATGATATCTTCTGAATCACTGGGGATACCTTCTGATACCACTTTCCGATGATACCTGTTAATCTAAATATCACCATCGACAATACTCTCCTTCCAGTAGTCACCCCAACAAAATATCTAAGTATCTTTCTTGATGATCAGCTTTCACGTAAAGATGTCATTTTTTATGCACTAAATAAAGTCAGTGCAGCTTACATATCATATAAGGAAATAAAAGCTGCACTTTAAAATTAAATGAATGCTTTATCTTACTGTCATTTGCCTGATTCATTTCTATGTTGCTCCTACTTGGCCCACTGCTCCAAAAAGCTACAGACAAAAAAATCATTGTACTTCAAATTAGGATTCTGAGAAATATTATGAATTCACCTGGTTTGTAAGAAATCAACAAATTCTTGCACGTAACATTTTTTAAAGTGTTCACCATAAAGCTTTATTAGCAAAATACAATACGACTGTAAAACATCCTTTCAAGTGTCCCATAACTATACACCACAACAGTGCATATTAAACTTTATCATTTGGAGCCAAAAGTTCAATAAACTCATTCAACTCTCTCACTATTATGTTCATCAACATTAAAAGTGTATCTCTGATTGAGAAATGACAGCCAAGTGGTAAAACGGCTGGTCACAATAAGATCACGACATCGAGCTGGGCTGAGAAAAAATTTTGTTTTTTCAAACCTCAAAGAACACAAACTAAAATATAAATTGTTTGTAAGTGTGCAACTTCATACTCTACTGCTCATCCTGGCAAAACAATCTGGACTATTTTTCTGGCAAAGCTTAATGGACTTTGTTTAATTTTTCATATAATGTTTTCACTTATTTCATTGCATTATAGATAATGATTTATTATTACCTCTTCATTCTACTGACAATGCTTATGGACTTTGTTCCTCTCAAAGCAGGATATAGACTTCATTTATGAATTGAAACTCAACATTGTTATACTTATGGACTTTGTTCCTTTCAAAGCAGGATATAGACTTCATTTATGAATTGAAACTCAAACCTTGTTTTTTTGTGCGGTACTAGTATTCATATTATCAGAATACTATGGCACAAAAAAAAGACCACACAAAAACAGGTTTGAATGTGTAGAATCTTATGCATTATCGTGCTCATTTTCCTATATATTCACATCAGGTACTATTTTATATCTCATCACTGCAAGTATTCACATGTGCCAATATTTAATTACATCCTTACGCAATAATTAATTACCCAAGATTTAGAAAAACTCCAATGCATTACTTGCCTCTCAAATTACTTTATTCTCCAAAGAATAACTCAGTTCTCATCCGCAACAGGGTGCCAAGGTCACAGTGATCTCTCAATTCTGTCTGTTTTCAAACCTGAATTCACTTGAAATTCATAATGATCAAGGAAATTGAATTCAGATTTATATTGGGGCCACTACGTTCACTTTTAGTGCATGGAATTAAATCTAAGTAGCACAAGAGCACTTATTTTTTTATTCATGGCATTAGAACTCCCACCAAAGTACAGGTTAAAACTCCAGTAGTTGAATGTCTGTCTGAGAACCACCTAAGATCAATGGTCTCCCCTTCTGGGCACTGCCAAGAGCTTCAACAGTGGATAATGTGCCTTAACTCTCTTTTTAATTTTACAAATCACTCCTTGAAAGGGTAAATAAGGACATAATAGAGAATTACTAAAAATTAGGCAGTGTTAAGGCATTGTGCATTGTTTTAATTTTTGTATATAAGTATAAGAAAGCATTTTTTCTATCAATTTATTTTGCGTAATGTATGTTTAAAATGATGGACATCTGCCGCAAAATTTTTCATTTATTCATTTGAGCTGTTGTTCTGCTTTGAAGTTTATAAATTATTATATAATAAAATAATAAAATAGAGGGGACTAATGCTGTATACTTTTTTCTTTTTGGCTGTTTAAATTTTATTCTTTTATTTTTTATTAAGTAATGAAAAAATATATGTGTGTGTGTGTATGTATGTACATATGTGTGTTCCTTACATTGCAAAGAAACTGTGGTACCTAAAGCTGCCAAATTTTTAACACATAGTCCTCCAAGAAGACTTTTGCACCACAAATATTCTTTAAAATTAAATATATCCATTTAAAATCAGTTCAATATCTAATATAAAAATTAAATATTCTTTAAAATTAAATACATCCATTTAAAATCGGTGTAGTTTTTTTCAGTGCATTTCAGGTAATAATGAAAACAACAACATTTACATCTAGTCCTCAAGCAAACTTGTGCACCTTCAAACTCAGGGATTTAAAAGGGATTCCTGCTTTACCACTCAGAGATTCCTGGTGATACTCAGAGATTTCTGTTTTGCCACTCAGCAAAATAGGATATTTGTGTTTCAAATTAAAACAAAACACTTGGTGATTTAAAAGAAATGTATTGCCACTTAGTAAAGCATAAGGTATTTATTCTTGAAATTTAATTAGCAAATGCAGCAATATTAAAGAAATATGTTGACGCTGCCTAGTTTAAACTATCTCTATCTTCCTCATTCCAGTATGTTGCCATTCAGCAAAGTATAAGCATTACCAGAACGTCTTCTTCTGGATAGAGGTGTAAATGCTATTAATATATTCTCCTATATAAAAAAACTTACATGATGAATTGGATACATTATTAAATAATTGAAACATGTAACTGTAACTGTACCTTAAGATTAGTACATTCATTTAACTATTGGGACATTTAAATAACTGTACAAATTATACATGTAAATTAAATTTTTATTATCTAGCTTTATTTATTATGTAGATTTTTTTACTATCTATATTTTGGTTAATTATATGTATGATTTTATTTTCTACCATGTGCATAGCTAAAAGTATCAATGTTTTTATTAAAAAATTGCACAAAAATCGAAAAGTATTATATACTCATATTGTGTTCATGATCTCAATCATGTTATAAAATAAGTTTTTATTTATAGTTATTTTTATAACTTATCTTGCTATTCACTTCAAACATAATTCAAAGAATTAAAGACATTAGGAAGTACACTGTGAGAGTGAGCAGAAGAGTGTTACCATTACACAAAATGAATTTCATGTACCGAATTTTTTAAATGTGATTTCTTAAGATGAAGATATGGCTCTTTTACATCTTAAAAAGCTAAGGAAAAAAATTATAATTTATGCTTCATTTATTTTCCATATGTTTATACTTTATGTAGTATCATTAGTTTATTAAGTATTCTTTAAAATTAAATATATCCTTTTAAAATCAAGGCAATTTTTTTCATCAATTTCAGGTAATAATGAAAGCAATAGCATTTACGCCGAGGGGCTATTGGCAGAGCAGGAGAAATAGATATGATCTTCTCGTGACAGTAGTTGGTGTGATCTGGGTCATAACCCATTTTATGCTAATGGTAAAATTTGTTTATAATTTAAATAAATTTGTGTAATTTTAAGTGAAACTTCAAACTGACCAATATTGGATTGTTTCAAGAATTTCGGCCAAAAGATCAGCAAGAGTTCAGACTAAAAATCAGCATGTGGCATCATAACTCTGAAAATTTATTTATTAATATCTGTAGCATTATGTTGAACAATTTTATACCATGCATTATTCAGGATAAAGATTCCATCCTATCATTATTTCAGTACCAAAAAAATGCATTATATGGGGCTGAACCATATTAATCTGTGAAGATTTTTATTCATCTATCACCATCTTTTAATATTCTAATATTAGCAAAAGTATTCATCAACACTCCTTTTGTAAATGATGTTAATCTTAAATATTGTATTTAGTCCGATCAAAAGATCTGCATCCTGGCCAGCGATTGTACATTATACAATAAGAGAAAATTAAAACCAGGAGTTCAAAATATTATATAGCAAGAACTAATGTTTCAGCATGTTTTTAAACTGTAAGAAATTTGCCAACTTATATTTACTTGAAAAATTATACAGAACTTGAGATTTCATTGCTGTTATGGTGTTGTAATAAAAAGTTAGTATGTGCATTATGACTTTTTTAATTGTGTAACTATTTTAATTATTTAATGAATTAGTCTCTTTGGCAGACATGCAATTTGTGAATCTGTAAATTAAATCTAAATTTTATTGTTTTCAACTAGAATTTTAAATTATTTTTCTTGGATTATCTAATTTTTTACACCATAAATTAAAAGTTTTACATTTTCTTTAAAAAAGTGTTTTAGAAACAGAATAATTTTCAAAGTTTTCATTTTAAAAATTTCTAGGTAGTTTTGTTAACGTATTAAACTGCACACATATCCAAAGCTGATGTTTTGCTATTTCATTAAAACTAGTTATTATGTATTAAAACTACATAATTTACTATATAATTCATTCAAAATATTCAGCAGAAGAAAATTTACATGTCAGCTAGTGAAAAAGAAGTACATACAAGATAACTTACATAATCGCACCAAAAAGATGACTTGTATTTATTATTATGGGTGAATTCAAGGAGATGTTTGCATTTGTCACATATATTCATTACATTGCATGCATGTGTTTCTGATTCAGAATGTTAGACATCAATAAGTCAACTTGAAGGTGGACAATCCAAAGGTCATATTGTGATGATTTGCTTATTCAATCCATAACGGTGGTTACAGATGAATAAAACTTTTTGCTGTGTCAAAAAGAGATGGCTGACTATGCATTATGTACAGAAACTAATAATAACTTTTTTACTTCATTAATAAGAAAGTTTGAAACACATGTTTGTAAGCAGCTGGCTTCACTGCTGTCAGCCGCTTTTAGCAGTGATGTATTATGGCAAATCATATTTTTCTGACTTTGTGTGGTAGGAAATCTGTAGTTTTCTGATTATTACTGTACAATAAGTCAAATGAAGCCTTGACTCTGAAATGATCTGGTATTCATGTGAATTTGTCACTCTTATCGCCTTAAAAATAATTTTCAAACCATCTGAAAAGCTCTATGTAAAAGCAGTGGCATTTATAACATCTATTAAATGCTTCTTCTGTCGTAGCACTGATGCAATGATAGTCTGATTCTAAAACCACTTAGAATAAGTATCAATTCTGTGAAAATATTGCAATGGATTGTAACGTTAAGTCCAGAAAGTACTGGGGATACTGTTTCAAAACCACAGCTGTGTACTGTGTTATTGCCTCTTTATGTCAACTTTTCCATAGAAATGTTGGCCTAAATGAGGAATTTTCTTAAACTTTGTTTTTTGCATTCACCACTCTTTCAAAAGAATGGTTCTCTTCATCTACCCCCTTAACTTTTTCTGTGTAATAAAATGCTTGCAATGTAATTACAGTAACTCTGCGGAAGGGGGATGCAGCAGTTAGCTTGCAGTGCTCTTGTCAAATGTTAAAGGGTACACTTATATTGGTGACGTAACTGCCATTTGACCATAACTTCTGTCAACAACTTTTAGCAGCTTTTGCTGTAATTCATTAGTTTTGCTTTATTCTTACTTTTTTATTGTGTTTTCTTGTGCTCCTGAGTTTGTTACTTTTGTATACTGCACTTATTACTTAAGCAAATTTTGTATCTTTGAAAAAAACTATGCTTGATTTTCTAAATATATTAAATAATTTCACCCCCTTATACTTATTTTCTATGATTTCATACGTACTATATGATAAACCTTTATATCAATAAACAATTAAAAGATATTTTCTCCCTCCTTTCTGCATGCCTTTGTTGTATAACGGTAGCACATTTGGTGCATATTCGAGAGGTCCAGGTTTGAGTCCCATGAGAGTATTGCTCATTTTCCATGACTTCTGTTTCAAAATAACCTAATGACTCTAAAGTGGTGCCCGAACTAAAAAGACATGGATAATTATTCTTCGCCACCAGTACTAGGCGATTGGGTCCCCTATTCCCCTGTCACCCTTTAAAAAGGGAGTGTATGAGGTATTTTCTCCCTCCATTCGACATACCTTCCTGTATAACGGTTAGCACACTCTGCGCGTATTCGATAGTCCAGGTTTGAGTCCCACCGAGGGCATTGCTCATTTTTCACATTTCGTGCTTCAAAAAAAGCCTAATGTCAATGTCTCTGCAAATTAAATATCAATTTTATTAATAAATATTGAGATCATAATTACACCGATCAATTGCTGATGTATATGTGGCTATTAACCACCATTCGACTCCTAGATTGTAATTGACTCCCTTTAAAATTTCATCAACCCAGTTGGAAACTTATGGACTATGCTTCATATTAAAGTGCACAATAATAATTGTTCATTTAGGGCTGTTGTTATCAACGTTTTCCTTAAAACGGGAGATATTCAAAGAATGGATTGGCTAATCTAATCTGCAGACTAAAACTCCCCCAGCAGATGCTTGGGACTGAACAGCAGATACTGCCTGCAAATGTTTCCTGCATTCTGGAAAGAATTATTATGAGTACTGTTAAAAAAATGAGATTCATTGGACCAAGCAATTATAATACTCTCATAATTAGTTTGCCTCACTGCATGTGTTTTTTACAGGGCATTCTCTGTTGTTCTTAATTTTCATAGTCTATTTTTTTACTTATGGTCTGTATCATGTTTTGTATTTTATTTGTATAAATTATTTATCATTAAATTTGTGCAAATTTACTTCCATGCATCATTGTGTATCCATATTTCTCCAGTCTGTACTTTTTTGGAACTCTAATTTTAGGCATACATGTAACTTTGTTAGAACTTTGCATGTTATACTTATATTACATATATTACTTGAACTTTGCATACTTTGCAATACAAGAAAAGCCTTATTTAAAAATAAAATTTAAATTAGTAAAATTTGTATTTGTTATGAAATAGAAAAAACAGTAATTTTTGTTGGTCTTGTTAACATCTTATCTACAGCTTTTTTATTAGATTTTGATTTTTAAATACTACAAAATTTTTGATTTTTAAATATTATCAAAACTTGAGTTGTAATAAAATTTGTATATTTTTAGAATAATACGAGCAACTCGATTGGTTATACGGTTGTTATCCTGCGCTTTTTTACAATTACTGGAAAACATGTAAGTTCAAATATTCATTTTATTTTATTTTTTATATTAAAATACTGAATTTTTTTACATAGTAGGATAAACTGTATATTTCATTTCTTTCACATTAATTTAATATTTTATCATGCACAAATTATTACAAAGATTAAGAAGAAATCTTATTAAAATTACAGAGAATTTAGATTTGATTGTTGAATTGCCTAGGTAATATTTATAAAATATGAAATATTTATGTTGCTTTTATCATTGTCTTTAATTATTTTCCTTTCAATATTTGTTGTTAAAAAATGTAAATAAATAATATTAAAATCATAATTCCTGAGCAATACAGAAACATTTGAGAGTTAAAATAGCTTTCTCTTTTATAATAATCAATCAAAATATTTGTTTTAATGAAGAATGTATATAAACTCATTTTGATTCACTGTGATTTTAATCCTGTGCATGCAAATTGTATTTTATTTAATAGAAGCTTCTTTCCAGTTTCTCATAAATGAAGGGTTTTTTTTTAAAAGACCAGAACATTTGCAGAAAATAAGTCTAAAAAAGGCTTTCGTACTTTAAAAAAAAAAAAAAAAAAAAAAAAACCCTCTAATAATGTTTTAATGTTAGAAATTTAATATCTGAAAGGAATTCAAATTTTTTATATGCAGATACAACAGATTTTCTTTTAGAATGGTTTATAAGGGATACATGTAATATTAAATCAATTAAATTTATGTATCATTAGATATTTAGCACAGATTAACTTACTGTTTTATAATTATTAATCATGAAGACTAGCATGAACTATAATTGTTGTTTTTCCATTTAATACAGTGTGAAACATCTTTTGTTCTGTCCTTTTTAATTTAATTTCATATCAGTTTAAAATGCCTTGTCCCATTACATAGGTTCCTGTTATGAAGCTAATTATGGTTTTTCTCAAATCATGAAAAATAAATAAATAAAAAACGTATACAGAATTATGGTAACCAGGAAAATGCCCACAGAAAAATGCCCACCGGAAAAATGCTTACAGAATAATGCTCACAGGTATAAATGCTCACAGGAATAAAACCCACACAGAAATATGCCCACATAGAGAAAAGCTCACATGGAAAAATCAGGGTTGCCACGCTACCTGGAGAACCGGGAAAAGTCAGGGAATTTGAAAATTGACCAAAATATTCAGGGAAAAGTCAGGGAATGTAATATTTTGTCAAAATCTGGAAAAGTCAGGGAAGTTTATCAACGATCCCGCCAAAAAAGCGATTTTTCGCCGACGTCGGAAGAGGTAACTTTTTTTGGAGAATTATGTTCACGTGTGGTCATTCGGGTAGCTGGCATAGAGCCAATTTTAGCAGTTCCAATATTGTCTTTTAAAGGCAAAGCACTTTCGCGCAACTTTGGTTTCCATCTTTCGAGATCGCATGTGCAATGCATGAACTAAAGAAAGTACCTGTTCTCGTAAAAAAAAATGGGTACTAGTATACGGTCATGGAGGTTAGAATCAACAATATGTATTGTAAAAAGGAAACCTCTCTGCAACAGACGTGGCGTGGCTCCGTTCCATCATAGAGGGAAAACAGCTGTGCATGTCTGATATATCTGTCGCCAAAGCTGAACCGGTGTCGAAGTTCGAAGGTCCGTTATCAAGAGTTCATAAAATGAATATCGTTTAAAATTTCTTTAATTACTTTGCGCTAAAAAGACGTGCCACCCACGTCAAGATGCTTTTGTCTCAAAATGCGAGCGAGGAACACCGTCGATAAGCATTTATCGCAAAATGAAAATAACGGTGCACCCTCGCCTAACAACGAGACGTTTATTTCTCGAGTTACAGCGGCGGTATTCTACGCTACGAGAGTCAACAGCAAGTTGTGGGCCGCCAGATGTACTGCTAGTAAAAAACAGTCTGCCCAACATCCTATATTCTCTTACGGAAGTTTCGAAAGCGCATGAAAAAGTGTTGCCGCGTCGTCAATCAGGGTGTCCAGTGACGTACTAAGTAGACAATGGCTTGTATGTGTTTTCGCCGCTGATTTTTTTCATATTTAACGAAGATACCGTCGTAGATCTCTGAATCGATAGCGAATTTATAGAAATAATGTTGATGCTTTTGCTCTGCCAAAGATGTTTTCATTGCGTTTCAGATTGCCAAAATTTATAGTTCTTTTAATTTGGGATGAACTGAGAGAGTATTTGGACCACATTCAGAAAAAGAACGCAATTTCTACTGAAAGAAAGGTTATACTATTCCTGAAATTATAGATATAAATTGTAATTGTACCTTTAAATGTAGAAGATAATAGTTTTCAAGCACATAAAACCTTCTTCATTTATACAAATATAGACATCCGATAAGCTTCTACTCGATTATTACAACAAGAATTACGTTTACTTTAAAATCTACATTTGAATCCTTACAATAATACTGTGAACCAAAAAATGTCGTTCATTATTACGCGAAATTCACACTAAAATAAATTTAAAATAATAATATATAATAATTAGAAAAGATTTATAATATTTTTTT